GTTGCAGAAGCTCCTGGTGTGGCCTTCATAACCACCACTGTGTCCACTCGCCCCGGCTTCACACCCTGTAAAGTTGGTTTAAGATAGGACACTTTATTGATCTCACAATGAAGACATTTACATGAGCTATACCACATAAATTATTACCAACCATGGTTCGCGGTTTATGCCACTTTTGCTCGGTTTCAGTGCAGGAAAGAACAGGTGGCACCACAGACATCCCACTCTCACAATTATGTGCAGTCTGGTACAGCAGAGCAACTATGTGGTTGCACAGTGCCTGGCCAGCCACACAAGAGCAGGAACTCCCAACAAGCACAACTGGGGTTGATTCACGGAGTGTAATCTGCAACAATAACAGAGGGTTTTAGAGGAATTGTCTTACGGTGTCATGCTTTTTTTAATGCAATGTAAAAGGCAGCCAAGTAGGGTGAAAGTATATGTACAATTGGAAGGTTTAGAAATTATTTCTGTTTGTTTAATAACCTTTCATGAGTAATCAAAATCAGAGCTGCCAGACAAATTCTCGTCCTACTTAGCTGCCTACCAACGTTTCAGCGTGGCTTCCCCTATATTAAAAAGCATATTTGAACATGTTCTACAGAACATAGAACTACATTAAGTCCAACAGGACAACAGAACAACAGTCCAACGGGACAAAGACAAAGTCCAACGGGACTGAACAACAGAGATGCCAGAACGATGGCCGTGACTAAGTCCTACTCTCAGCTGGTGGGGAGCAGAGGACTTCTTCATAGAGCGGTAGCACCGGGCTCTAACTGTCACCTCGCCTGTCAGAGAATTTTTACCTGACACTGGTAATTAGAAAAACAACTTTAATCGTAACACATGTACATAACATTAGCTCGCTACGAATGGGTCATTGCGGGTATTAAAAGGCAGTCACATTAGTTAGCATGTTAGCAAGAGTTAGAGCCTGTGAACTTACCTTCAAAGTTTATGATGTACGAACAAACATACAACTTAAACCCCTTCTCCATGAGGCTCTGTGGAGTTATCGACACACTCCTGACCGGTCGTCGGACGTCATTAACCGAGACTTTTGGGATCTCGGTTAAACAACGAGTGAAATCTGCCATTTTCCGTGGTAGTTGCATAGACTGTAACAGCAGTAGACCGGGTATGACGCGGCGCCGGAAGTGACATCTCATCTGACGCATTTGTGGGCACGGTTCAACAATCTGTGCGCACAGTTTAGTAATCTGTGCGCACGGTTCAACAATCTGTGCGCACAGTTTAGTAATCTGTGCGCACAGTTTAGCAATCTGTGCGCACAGTTTAGCAATCTGTGCGCACAGTTTAGCAATCTGTGCGCACAGTTTAGCAATCTGTGCGCACAGTTTAGCAATCTGTGCGCACAGTTTAGCAATCTGTGCGCACAGTTTAGTAATCTGTGCGCACAGTTTAGCAATCTGTGCGCACAGTTTAACAATCTGTGCGCACAGTTTAGCAATCTGTGCGCACAGTTTAACAATCTGTGCGCACAGTTTAGTAATCTGTGCGCACAGTTTAGTAATCTGTGCGCACAGTTTAACAATCTGTGCGCACAGATTAGTAATCTGTGCGCACAGTTTATTTTTTTTTTTACCCCTGGCCCTTGCAGGTACTTTCTTTAGTGTAGATTCAGAATAATCTCCACATTCACGGGACTCTCTGTGTCCTGGCATCGCTCCAGCTCTGTCTGAGGAGAATCTAAGAGTAATGAACAAAAACTAATGAGGGAGTGCACTTTGGAGACGGCCTCAGCGCTCGGTCCGATTGCAGCTGATTTAAGAGTTTCATTAAAGGAGACGTACTCTACTTTATATGTTATACTTTTTCTCCCTTTGAACCACGTTACAACATTATTTCCTCGTCAAAAACAAACCTGAACCCATCCATCCACGCTAATATCAGGAACTTCTGGCACAAACCTGTAGCTCCGCCCCTTCTGTCTAAACGCTCTGTAAAAGTATGATGTCATTGTACCACTGTGACGTCACATTTGTACAGCACATTTTAACTTTACCCAAAGCAGATGCAGCTCTGAATGCAGACGCTGCTCCCTCTGATGCAGCTCTGAATACAGACGCTGCTCCCTCTGATGCAGCTCTGAATGCAGACGCTGCTCCCTCTGATACAGCTCTGAATACAGACGCTGCTCCCTCTGATACAGCTCTGAATGCAGACGCTGCTCCCTCTGATGCAGCTCTGAATACAGACGCTGCTCCCTCTGATGCAGCTCTGAATGCAGACGCTGCTCCCTCTGATGCAGCTCTGAATGCAGACGCTGCTCCCTCTGATAAAGCTCTGAATACAGACGCTGCTCCCTCTGATGCAGCTCTGAATGCAGACGCTGCTCCCTCTGATGCAGCTCTGAATGCAGACGCTGCTCCCTCTGATAAAGCTCTGAATACAGACGCTGCTCCCTCTGATGCAGCTCTGAATGCAGACGCTGCTCCCTCTCCTCTCTGGAACATCTAATGGAGGTTTGATACAGGATTGTGACTTTTACAGTTGTAAAAGGCTCAGTCTGACGCAGACGTGATTATGATGCATTCTGGGAAACTGCGCCAAGAATTTCACTGAGTCAATATTTGGACGCTGTTCGCCAAAAGGTCTCAGCTCCTGCGGTTTGACTTCATCCTGGGAACTGTTTCTGCCCAGATCCATGTCTCTTATTGTTCAATCGAAAATGTCAAAGTTTTAATGATTCACAAAAAATATCACTTTTATCATTTGTTTTTTAGATTTTTTTGCAACAACTTAAAAAGCAAAAGACAGGCCAGTACACTTGTTAGCCTGTTTGTGGAGGCTCCTGTACGCAAAAGTCTAGGCCTGTCAGACATCAATAGCTAAGTAGGGAATGGTATGGTTAGTACAGTGATGGGAGACCTCTGGGATCAAGTGAAAAACAGTCCTGTTATGTCGTGCATGCAGCTGAAGGACTCTTTCTAATGTACTTTTATATGATTTTAAGGCCTTGTTGGATTGTTTCTTGGCTTGTGTATGAACTGTGCCATACAAATAAACTTTCTGTGCCTAACAATGGCTCATTCTGAGGAGCCGTTTACCAGCACCACGTCTGGCCGGCTTCAATGATGCCACATAAGCTCTATTTATAGGAGCAGTATTTAGAAATGTGTCCAAAAGTGGTACTGCAGCCTCTCCCACTCTCCCTGACTCAGGTTGCCAGATATGCAGACGAATCCAGCTGGGACCATAACAGCTGAATAGACAAGAGTTTTGTCAACAACAAATCTATAACCAACACCTTTTTCACAAAGATAGAAATCCTGGTTTTATTCCTTGTTTTGTCGTTAATGATTTGAGAATCATAACAAGACCTTTTTTAGTTCTGCCCCACATGGTACTTTACCAGTGAGATTAGCTCCATGCGGTGAGTTCTGGCGCCCGGATCACAGACTTTCTGATTGGTGAAACGGTGGAGGGCGGGACATCGAAATGAAAACAATAACAAGATTTAGAGGCTGGAAAAATAATTTAGAAATTCAAATATCTCTGAACTATTGTCATCAGTTAAAGAAGTATTGGAAAAGAGCAGTTTATTATTATGACAGATTAGGGCCCTTTAATGATGACAGATTAGGGCCCTTTAATGATGACAGATTAGGGCCCTTTAATGATGACAGATTAGGGCCCTTTAATGATGACAGATTAGGGCCCTTTAATGATGACAGATTAGGGCCCTTTAATTATGAGATTAGGGCCCTTTAATCATGACAGATTAGGGCCCTTTAATGATGACAGATTAGGGCCCTTTAATCATGACAGATAAGGGCCCTTTAATGATGACAGATTAGGGCCCTTTAATGATGACAGATAGGGCCCTTTAATCTTACATATTGTTCCTTTAAAACGTTGTACTTTTGGATGAGTCATGACGTTATTGTCCACAGCAGACCCCTCTGACGTCATGTCTCTGAATCAAAAACACATGCTCTGAGTCATTTAGGAGTGTTTGAGTGGATTTAACCCCTGAGAGACACACACACTCTCACTGCAGCTGACGTCATGGGTTCGCCAGGGCTTATGTACATTTACTCTCATATTGTACTTATACTATAGTTACTTTAAAGTTGAAATACTTATACTATAGTTACTTTAAACGCATAGAGCGAGACACACATACACAAATACAAACAGAAGACACACACGCACAGACACACAGACACACTTACACACGCACAGACACGCACACATACACGCACACACACACACACACACTCAGCTCCCAGTGCAGTCTGACAGTGACTCACGCCGTTTCTTTCAACTGCAAAAGAAAAAGGAGAAAACAGAATCAACACGTTTCTTTCACGAGTCTATTTCTATTTGACAAATTGTTTTCATGTGGAGGAGATTAAAGTGCGGTACCCCGGCTTTTCTTTTTCCTAATGACTCCTGAGAGGTTATTTTGAACTTCTCTCTCTCTCTTTGCAGACTCCAAACTTAAAGGGAGAATGTACAGCTGTAATTTAGGTCCAAATTACACGTTTGGAGCCGCATGGTCGTGACGAAGAAGAAGAGAAGCACAGGCCCTGCCCCTCTGGAGATTTCCTGTTTTAAGACTTTGGTCACACACACACACACACACACACACACACACACACACACACACACACACACACACACACACACACATATATACACAGAGCGAGACACACACACACACACACACATATACACAGAGAGAGAAACACACACACACACACATATACACAGAGAGACACACACACACAGAGAGAGAGAGAGAGAGACACACACACACTTACAGAGAGAGAGAGACATACACACACGTACACACACACACACACACACACACATACACACACACACACACACACAGAGGGCACGTCCAGGCTCGCTGCTGCTGCTGCTGCTGCTGCTGCTGCGTGTATGTGAGCGATCAGCGGACTTATGCAGTGAGGACACGGGGCCGAACCGTCTCCGGACCCTCCCGCTGTCAGTGGCCGGTCCACATGGAGGTACCGCGTCTGTGCGTGTTCTGGTTCGGGACTTTACTGTTCGGATGTTTCCTGCTGGAGCAAAGCGGTGAGTTCAAGATGTTTTTCTCACTTTACTTCAACTCTTTCTCAACTTCTGTCGCGGAGGATTCTAAACAGGAGACGTGCGCGCCGCTGCTTTCAGGGGAGACAGCGTGCGCGCGTCTGTCAGCTCTACAGTAATATGGATCTATAATAATAATAATAATAATAATAATAATAATAATAATAATAACACAAATGTCAGAAAAGTTTGCTCAGAGTTGAATCTTGTGGAGGTTACAGTTCATTTAAAGAAGGACGTGACGCACTCACAGCTTCTGCCCAAACAGAGACACAGCTCACCACTGACACATCTGTCTGTGAATGATACAGACTACACCACTGACACATCTGTCTGTGAATGATACAGACTACACAACTGACACATCTGTCTGTGAATGATACAGACTACACCACTGACACATCTGTCTGTGAATGATACAGACTACACCACTGACACATCTGTCTGTGAATGATACAGACTACACCACTGACACATCTGTCTGTGAATGATACAGACTACACAACTGACACATCTGTCTGTGAATGATACAGACTACACAACTGACACATCTGTCTGTGAATGATACAGACTACACAACTGACACATCTGTCTGTGAATGATACAGACTACACAACTGACACATCTGTCTGTGAATGATACAGACTACAGCTTCACAAACTCACAGTTGTAAACAATGATGCACCGAGAATCTGATGTTTGAATGTTAATGAAAGTGTTGTGTGTCCAGTGTTGTGTGTCCAGTGTTGTGTGTCCAGCGTTGTGTGTCCAGTGTTGTGTGTCCAGCGTTGTGTGTCCAGTGTGTTGTGTGTCCAGCGTTGTGTGTCCAGTGTTGTGTGTCCAGTGTTGTGTGTCCAGCGTTGTGTGTCCAGTGTTGTGTGTCCAGCGTTGTGTGTCCAGTGTTGTGTGTCCAGTGTTGTGTGTCCAGCGTTGTGTGTCCAGTGTTGTGTGTCCAGCGTTGTGTGTCCAGTGTTGTGTGTCCAGTGTTGTGTGTCCAGTGTTGTGTGTCCAGTGTTGTGTGTCCAGCGTTGTGTGTCCAGTGTTGTGTGTCCAGCGTTGTGTGTCCAGTGTTGTGTGTCCAGTGTTGTGTGTCCAGGTTGTGTGTCCAGTGTTGTGTGTCCAGCGTTGTGTGTCCAGTGTTGTGTGTCCAGCGTTGTGTGTCCAGTGTTGTGTGTCCAGTGTTGTGTGTCCAGCGTTGTGTGTCCAGTGTTGTGTGTCCAGCGTTGTGTGTCCAGTGTTGTGTGTCCAGTGTTGTGTGTCCAGTGTTGTGTGTCCAGTGTGTGTGTCCAGTGTTGTGTGTCCAGCGTTGTGTGTCCAGTGTTGTGTGTCCAGTGTTGTGTGTCCAGTGTTGTGTGTCCAGTGTTGTGTGTCCAGCGTTGTGTGTCCAGTGTTGTGTGTCCAGTGTTGTGTGTCCAGTGTTGTGTGTCCAGTGTGTGGTGTCCAGCGTTGTGTGTCCAGTGTTGTGTGTCCAGTGTTGTGTGTCCAGCGTTGTGTGTCCAGCGTTGTGTGTCCAGCGTTGTGTGTCCAGTGTAGTGTGCGTTACATCCTGCGGCTCTGGAAACATTGGTACGACTGTCTTTTAAAAGTTTAGAGGTTTTTATGGTCTGTTTTTGTGTCTGTGTTGATCTGGACCAGTCTGTAGTAAGATATTTATCTATCTATTACTTAATTAGCAGGACTTTAAAATCACCTTCAGTTCAGATATTACACATTCTGACTTTTCAAAACACATGTGAGCGATAGTTTAGGTCCTTTGTAAACATCTGTCTGTGAACGTTCCAGGGACTTCAGGTGGAAAACAGCACTTGGCTAATTCTGGTGCATTTACAGATAAAATAAACTAATACTTACATAAAGATAGAACAGCCCATGCCTTTGCCTTTTCTCAATAACAGTGAATACGTATTGGTAAGTATAGTACAGATAATAGTAAAAACAACAACTAAAATACTTTGTCTCATCAAAAAGTAAAAAACATTGTGGTTGAGTAATTGACAATATATTTATGTGAGACATTTTAAGATTGATGAATGTTTGTCTGAACTTTGGCTAAACTCCGTAAAGGAATCACTCTCACTCCTGTAAACCACTCTGTCAGGAGCAGTGGACACTAAAGGGCAGAGAACCCATGTCCAGATGTTAATGCTTGGCTTTAGCAGGACTTTACCCAATTGCACCTATTCACCTTTTGTAGTACCCGGGGGTAACCTATGCAGACACAGGGAGAATATGCAAACTTCATACAGAAGAACCCTGTCTGGAGGTGGAATAGAACCCAGGACCTTCTATTACAAGCACAAACCGCTGCCTACAGTTCTGAGGCATGAGTAAAAATGGCAGCTCTGAGTTTAGACAATTTCTCTTTAGCGACTCGTGGAAATCAATATCAAAATAAAAAATACTGTAATTTGCAAACCTCCTTTACCTGAACATATTACTCATTCTGAAGACTTTTTGTGGTTATTTTGACGGACAAGTTTATTGTTTTTGATTTGGCATAAAGTCCTTTGCGTTAGACCTAAATGTTGTCAAAGTTTCCTGTGTGCTCTGACTGCTGGACTGATAAAACATTCCCTGGCGGCTCTGTGGACGGTCCTGCTCTGCCTCTGATGTCATTCTGAAAAGCTTAAGAATTTGGAACAACATTGAAACGGCGTACCCTGCTTCCTGTAAGTGGCATTACTCACGTCTAACAATAACAAAGTCTTCAGGAGGCACCATTTTGCAACCTCCACTCCTCCTCAAGTCTCACTGCTCTGTGCACATTCCTGGCAGGTCTATCCGCCCCGAGAGATACCACTTCATATGTCTCCGGCTGCATCCAGTGGCTCCAAGTGGCTTTGGAGGCTCCTAATCCCACCCTCCCCTCTCTGCAATTACACATGGCCCTGAGTGACAATTAGACTCATTCACCCACTGCACGTCCCGCCCCCGTCTGCAAATGACAAGCTCTGTGAGACCAGTTTGTTTTAATGATATAAGGACTGCTGTAGACTTTTCCTTTACCTTCTGGATCTCTGCATCGCCCCACAAATGTTTATTTACCTGCAACACCCACCGTCACTGGGCCATGTTTATGTCCCTCCTACGGCAAAGGCTCCCGGTGTAAGCTTGGCAGCGATTGGTCATTATAGTCTGGGTCTTATCTTTAAAAAGCCTTTTTGTTTTGGTTGCGCAGATTATATGTGTTTTGTTTGGAGTGTGTTGTTGTCCTAGACTTGTGTGTGTCTGTATGTGTTTGTGTGTGTTTGTGTGTGTGTGTGTGTCTATGTCTGTGTTTTTTGTTGTAAAAATGCATAAATAATAGATTTTTGTATCTACTGCCTATAGGCTACTGCTGCCATCCTTCTGGGCTGTAGCTAAGATGGCCATAAATATTGTTCCAAATATGATTTTTGACCCGAGTTCTGCCTTCAGGTTATTGTAAAGTCCAAATCACACCAGCAGTCGTCTCGGAGGACTTAACTAAGTTGTCGATTCACCAACAACCGATCAGAGGATCAGATAATTCAATAATAACAAACACATAGGAGCCATTGGTCCACAAGGACCAGTGTCTGTAAAAAGTAGTAATATATAAGTCATCATTAAAGGGCCCTAATCTGTCAACATTAAAGGGCCCTAATCTGTCATCATTAAAGGGCCCTAATCTGTCATCATTAAAGGGCCTAATCTGTCAACATTAAAGGGCCCTAATCTGTCATCATTAAAGGGCCTAATCTGTCAACATTAAAGGGCCCTAATCTGTCATCATTAAAGGGCCCTAATCTGTCATCATTAAAGGGCCTAATCTGTCACCATTAAAGGGCCCTAATCTGTCATAATAATAAACTGCTCTTTTCCAATACTTCTTTAACTGATAACAGTAGTTCAGAGATATTTGAATTTCTAAATTACTTTTCCAGCCCCTAAATCTTGTTATTGTTTTCATTTCAATGTCCCGCCCTCCACCATTTCACCAATCAGAAAGTCTGTGATCCGGGCGCCAGAACTCACCGCGTGGAGCTAATCTCACTGGTAAAGTACCATGTGGAGCTAATCTCACTGGTGAAGTACCATGTGGCGCAGAACTAAAAAAGGTCTCGTTATGATTCTCAAATCATTTACGACAAAACAAGGAATAAAACCAGGATTTCTATCTTTGTGAAAAAGGTGTTGGTTATAGATTTGTTGTTGACAAAACTCTTGTCTATTCAGCTGTTATGGTCCCAGCTGGATTCGTCTGCATATCTGGCAACCTGAGTCAGGGAGAGTGGGAGAGGCTGCAGTACCACTTTTGGCCACATGTTTACACACTGCTCCTTTAATAAAGGTCCCCGATCGTCACTGTCCTTAGACCCTCTTGTATCTGCAGGGCGGGAAGGTGCAGAAAACACAAATGAAATGTGTTTTTTTATGTTCCCAAATACACATACATCTCTGAATACGCTCGATGTTGGGGACGTTACAGGCCGAATATCATAAACAATGGAGAGTGAGGAATGATCGTCACTTGTAATAACATTTTTGATTCCCCCACATTATTTTGTAAAGTGCGTAGCATTTTTCAGATTCAGTGTGTGATATATAAAAGTACTTCAGGTCTTCTTGCTGCTGTTGTTTCCAGTGACATCTGATCCACGTTTTCAGTAATTGCCTCCGAAATGTTTTGAACTGTGTACTTTGGTTGCTGTGATACATTTTTATGTTTTGCCGCAGAAAAAGTTAAATTAGATATTCTATAACTCTATAAAACCATATCAATGTCAGTTATAAAGTGCATTTTGAGAAGTCACTATACAAGAATTTGACAGTAATTGTATATTTCACTATTTTCTTTACCGTTTGTTTAAGTGAAGCTATGAGCCGCTGGTGTTGCACATGTGTTAGATAAATAAAGTAAACATTCACATTGACTTCCATAATGAGGCTGGAAAATAAAGTTTTATGTTAATGTTGTTTAGCTAAAGCAGTAGATCCACAGTTGTATTTTGATATGATTTAATTTTCTATTTACCACTTGACATTTGTCCGGGCCTCACTTCCTTGTGTTGTGTTGTTGTTGTGTAGAGTTGCTGCGTGTACGGTTTTTTGGGAATCCTGGGCTGAAGATTCGCCTATTTTATATACAGAATATATATTTTTATAGGGTTGAAAATACAGAATACAGAATTTATAAATATAATACAAGACAGAAATAAAGAACAGACAACATTGTGGACATTTACGTGGGTCTATGTGTGTAGTGGTGTGTGTAGTAATGTGTGCGTGTAGTAATGTGTGTGTTTATATGTCTCCTCAGACCTCTCTCCTCAGACCTCTCTCGGTTCAGACTCTCTCTCCTCAGACCTCTCTCCTCAGACTCTCTCTCCTCAGACTCTCTCTCCTCAGACTCTCTCTCCTCAGACCTCTCTCCTCAGACTCTCTCCTCAGACTCTCTCTCTCCTCAGACTCTCTCTCCTCAGACTCTCCTCAGACTCTCTCCTCAGACTCTCTCTCTCAGACTCTCTCTCCTCAGACCTCTCTCCTCAGACTCTCTCCTCAGACTCTCTCTCCTCAGACTCTCTCCTCAGACTCTCTCCTCAGACTCTCTCTCCTCAGACTCTCTATCCTCAGACTCTCTCTCCTCAGACTCTCTCTCCTCAGACTCTCTCTCCTCAGACTCTCTCTCCTCAGACCTCTCTCCTCAGACTCTCTCTCCTCAGACTCTCTCTCCTCAGACCTCTCTCCTCAGACCTCTCTCCTCAGACTCTCTCTCCTCAGACTCTCTCCTCAGACTACTCTCCTCAGACTCTCTCCTCAGACTCTCTCCTCAGACTCTCTCTCAGACACTCTCTCCTCCTCGCGCCTCAGACCTCTCTCCTCAGACTCTCTCTCCTCAGACCTCTCTCCTCAGACTCTCTCTCTCCTCAGACCTCTCTCTCCTCAGACTCTCTCCTCAGACTCTCTCTCCTCAGACTCTCTCTCCTCAGACTCTCTCCTCAGACTCTCTCTCCTCAGACTCTCTCCTCAGACTCTCTCTCCTCAGACTCTCTCCTCAGACTCTCTCTCCTCAGACTCTCTCTCCTCAGACTCTCTCCTCAGACTCTCTCAACTCCTCCTCAGACTCTCTCCTCAACTCTCTCCTCAGACTCTCTCTCCTCAGACTCTCTCTCCTCAGACCTCTCTCCTCAGACTCTCTTCCTCAGACTCTCTCCTCAGACTCTCTCTCCTCAGACTCTCTCCTCAGACTCTCTCCTCAGACTCTCTCTCCTCAGACTCTCTCTCCTCAGACTCTCTCCCTCAGACACTCTCTCCTCAGACTCTCTCTCCTCAGACTCTCTCTCCTCAGACTCTCTCCTCAGACTCTCTCTCCTCAGACTCTCTCCTCAGACTCTCTCTCCTCAGACTCTCTCCTCAGACACTCTCTCTCCTCAGACTCTCTCTCTCTCAGACTCTCTCTCCTCAGACCTCTCTCCTCAGACCTCTCTCCTCAGACTCTCTCTCCTCAGACTCTCTCCTCAGACCTCTCTCCTCAGACTCTCTCTCCTCAGGACTCTCTCTCCTCAGACTCTCTCCTCAGACCTCTCTCCTCAGACTCTCTCCTCAGACTCTCTCTCCTCAGACTCTCTCCTCAGACTCTCTCCTCAGACTCTCTCTCCTCAGACTCTCTCTCCTCAGACCTCTCTCCTCAGACTCTCTCTCCTCAGACCTCTCTCCTCAGACCTCTCTCCTCAGACTCTCTCTCCTCAGACCTCTCTCCTCAGACCTCTCTCCTCAGACTCTCTCCTCAGACTCTCTCCTCACTGACTCTCTCTCCTCAGACTCTCTCTCCTCAGACCTCTCTCCTCAGACTCTCTCCTCAGACTCTCTCCTCAGACTCTCTCTCCTCAGACTCTCTCTCCTCAGACCTCTCTCCTCAGACTCTCTCCTCAGACTCTCTCCTCAGACTCTCTCTCCTCAGACTCTCTCTCCTCAGACTCTCTCTCCTCAGACTCTCTCTCCTCAGACTCTCTCTCCTCAGACTCTCTCTCCTCAGACCTCTCTCCTCAGACTCTCTCCTCAGACTCTCTCCTCAGACTCTCTCTCCTCAGACTCTCTCCTCAGACTCTCTCCTCAGACTCTCTCCTCAGACCTCTCTCCTCAGACCTCTCTCCTCAGACCTCTCTCCTCAGACCTCTCTCCTCAGACCTCTCTCCTCAGACTCTCTCTCCTCAGACCTCTCTCTCAGACTCTCTCTCCTCAGACTCTCTCCTCAGACCTCTCTCTCTCTCCTCCTCAGACCTCTCTCCTCAGACTCTCTCCTCAGACTCTCTCTCCTCAGACTCTCTCCTCAGACTCTCTCCTCAGACTCTCTCCTCAGACTCTCTCCTCAGACTCTCTCCTCAGACTCTCTCCTCAGACCTCTCTCCTCAGACTCTCTCCTCAGACTCTCTCCTCAGACTCTCTCCTCAGACTCTCTCTCCTCAGACCTCTCTCCTCAGACTCTCTCCTCAGACCTCTCTCCTCAGACTCTCTCCTCAGACCTCTCTCCTCAGACCTCTCTCCTCAGACCTCTCTCCTCAGACTCTCTCCTCAGACCTCTCTCCTCAGACTCTCTCCTCAGACCTCTCTCCTCAGACCTCTCTCCTCAGACTCTCTCTCCTCAGACCTCTCTCCTCAGACTCTCTCTCCTCAGACTCTCTCCTCAGACTCGACTCTCTCCTCAGACTCTCTCTCCTCAGACTCTCTCCTCAGACCTCTCCTCAGACCTCTCTCCTCAGACTCTCTCTCCTCAGACCTCTCTCCTCAGACTCTCTCTCTCCTCAGACTCTCTCTCCTCAGACTCTCTCTCCTCAGACCTCTCTCCTCAGACTCTCTCTCCTCAGACTCTCTCTCCTCAGACCTCTCTCCTCAGACTCTCTCCTCAGACTCTCTCCTCAGACTCTCTCTCCTCAGACTCTCTCCTCAGACCTCTCTCCTCAGACCTCTCTCCTCAGACTCTCTCTCTCTCTCCTCAGACTCTCTCCTCAGACTCTCTCTCCTCAGACTCTCTCTCCTCAGACCTCTCTCCTCAGACTCTCTCTCCTCAGACTCTCTCCTCAGACTCTCTCCTCAGACCTCTCTCCTCAGACTCTCTCCTCAGACTCTCTCTCCTCAGACTCTCTCTCCTCAGACTCTCTCCTCAGACTCTCTCCTCAGACTCTCTCCTCAGACTCTCTCTCCTCAGACTCTCTCCTCAGACCTCTCTCCTCAGACTCTCTCCTCAGACTCTCTCCTCAGACTCTCTCCTCAGACTCTCTCCTCAGACCTCTCTCCTCAGACCTCTCTCCTCAGACTCTCTCCTCAGACTCTCTCCTCAGACTCTCTCCTCAGACTCTCTCCTCAGACTCTCTCCTCAGACTCTCTCTCCTCAGACTCTCTCTCCTCAGACCTCTCTCCTCAGACTCTCTCCTCAGACTCTCTCCTCAGACTCTCTCTCCTCAGACCTCTCTCCTCAGACCTCTCTCCTCAGACTCTCTCCTCAGACTCTCTCCTCAGACCTCTCTCCTCAGACTCTCTCTCCTCAGACCTCTCTCCTCAGACCTCTCTCCTCAGACCTCTCTCCTCAGACTCTCTCCTCAGACTCTCCTCAGACTCTCTCCTCAGACTCTCTCCTCAGACTCTCTCCTCAGACTCTCTCCTCAGACTCTCTCCTCAGACTCTCTCCTCTCTCCTCAGACTCTCTCCTCAGACTCTCTCCTCAGACTCTCTCCTCAGACTCTCTCCTCAGACTCTCTCCTCAGACTCTCTCCTCAGACTCTCTCTCCTCAGACCTCTCTCCTCAGACTCTCTCCTCAGACTCTCTCCTCAGACTCTCTCCTCAGACTCTCTCCTCAGACTCTCTCTCCTCAGACCTCTCTCCTCAGACTCTCTCCTCAGACCTCTCTCCTCAGACCTCTCTCCTCAGACTCTCTCCTCAGACCTCTCTCCTCAGACCTCTCTCCTCAGACTCTCTCCTCAGACCTCTCTCCTCAGACTCTCTCCTCAGACTCTCTCTCCTCAGACTCTCTCTCCTCAGACTCTCTCCTCAGACTCTCTCCTCAGACTCTCTCCTCAGACTCTCTCCTCAGACTCTCTCCTCAGACTCTCTCTCCTCAGACTCTCTCCTCAGACTCTCTCTCCTCAGACTCTCTCCTCAGACTCTCTCCTCAGACTCTCTCTCCTCAGACTCTCTCCTCAGACTCTCTCCTCAGACTCTCTCTCCTCAGACTCTCTCCTCAGACTCTCTCCTCAGACTCTCTCTCCTCAGACCTCTCTCCTCAGACTCTCTCCTCAGACTCTCTCAGACTCTCTCTCCTCAGACTCTCTCCTCAGACTCTCTCCTCTCTCTCCTCAGACTCTCTCTCCTCAGACTCTCTCCTCAGACTCTCTCTCCTCAGACTCTCTCCTCAGACTCTCTCCTCAGACTCTCTCCTCAGACCTCTCTCCTCAGACTCTCTCTCCTCAGACTCTCTCCTCAGACCTCTCTCCTCAGACTCTCTCTCCTCAGACTCTCTCCTCAGACTCTCTCCTCAGACTCTCTCCTCAGACTCTCTCCTCAGACCTCTCTCCTCAGACCTCTCTCCTCAGACTCTCTCCTCAGACTCTCTCCTCAGACTCTCTCCTCAGACTCTCTCTCCTCAGACTCTCTCTCCTCAGACTCTCTCTCCTCAGACTCTCTCCTCAGACTCTCTCTCCTCAGACTCTCTCTCCTCAGACTCTCTCCTCAGACCTCTCTCCTCAGACCTCTCTCCTCAGACTCTCTCTCCTCAGACTCTCTCCTCAGCTCTCTCCTCAGACTCTCTCCTCAGACTCTCTCCTCAGACTCTCTCTCCTCAGACTCTCTCTCCTCAGACTCTCTCTCCTCAGACTCTCTCCTCAGACTCTCTCTCCTCAGACTCTCTCTCCTCAGACTCTCTCTCCTCAGACTCTCTCCTCAGACCTCTCTCCTCAGACTCTCTCTCCTCAGACTCTCTCTCCTCAGACTCTCTCTCCTCAGACTCTCTCCTCAGACCTCTCTCCTCAGACTCTCTCGCTCCTCAGACTCTCTCTCCTCAGACCTCTCTCCTCAGACTCTCTCCTCAGACCTCTCTCCTCAGACTCTCTCTCCTCACCTCTCTCCTCAGACTCTCCTCCTCAGACTCTCTCCTCAGACTCTCTCTCCTCAGACTCTCTCTCCTCAGACCTCTCTCCTCAGACCTCTCTCCTCAGACTCTCTCCTCAGACTCTCTCCTCAGACTCTCTCCTCAGACTCTCTCCTCAGACTCTCTCTCCTCAGACTCTCTCCTCAGACCTCTCTCCTCAGACTCTCTCCTCAGACCTCTCTCCTCAGACTCTCTCCTCAGACTCTCTCCTCAGACTCTCTCTCCTCAGACCTCTCTCCTCAGACTCTCTCCTCAGACTCTCTCCTCAGACTCTCTCCTCAGACTCTCTCTCCTCAGACTCTCTCCTCAGACTCTCTCTCCTCAGACTCTCTCCTCAGACTCTCTCCTCAGACTCTCTCCTCAGACTCTCTCCTCAGACCTCTCTCCTCAGACTCTCTCCTCAGACTCTCTCCTCAGACTCTCTCCTCAGACTCTCTCCTCAGACTCTCTCCTCAGACTCTCTCCTCTCTCTCCTCAGACTTCTCTCTCTCCTCAGACTCTCTCCTCAGACTCTCTCCTCAGACTCTCTCTCCTCAGACTCTCTCTCTCAGACTCTCTCCTCAGACTCTCTCCTCAGACTCTCTCTCCTCAGACTCTCTCTCCTCAGACTCTCTCCTCAGACTCTCTCCTCAGACTCTCTCCTCAGACTCTCTCCTCAGACTCTCTCTCCTCAGACTCTCTCTCCTCAGACCTCTCTCCTCAGACTCTCTCTCTCAGACCTCTCTCCTCAGACTCTCTCCTCAGACTCTCTCTCCTCAGACTCTCTCTCCTCAGACCTCTCTCCTCAGACTCTCTCCTCAGACCTCTCTCCTCAGACTCTCTCCTCAGACTCTCTCCTCAGACTCTCTCTCCTCAGACTCTCTCCTCAGACTCTCTCCTCAGACTCTCTCCTCAGACTCTCTCTCCTCAGACTCTCTCCTCAGACTCTCTCCTCAGACTCTCTCCTCAGACTCTCTCCTCAGACTCTCTCCTCAGACTCTCTCCTCAGACTCTCTCCTCAGACTCTCTCCTCAGACTCTCTCCTCAGACTCTCTCCTCAGACTCTCTCCTCAGAGACTCTCTCAGACTCTCTCCTCAGACTCTCTCCTCAGACTCTCTCCTCAGACTCTCTCCTCAGACTCTCTCTCCTCAGACCTCTCTCCTCAGACCTCTCTCCTCAGACTCTCTCCTCAGACTCTCTCCTCAGACTCTCTCCTCAGACTCTCTCTCCTCAGTCTCTCTCTCCTCAGACTCTCTCTCCTCAGACTCTCTCCTCAGACTCTCTCTCCTCAGACTCTCTCTCCTCAGACTCTCTCCTCAGACCTCTCTCCTCAGACCTCTCTCCTCAGACCTCTCTCCTCAGACCTCTCTCCTCAGTCTCTCTCCTCAGACTCTCTCCTCAGACCTCTCTCCTCAGACTCTCTCTCCTCAGACTCTCTCCTCAGACTCTCTCTCCTCAGACCTCTCTCCTCAGACCTCTCTCCTCAGACCTCTCTCCTCAGACTCTCTCCTCAGACTCTCTCTCCTCAGACTCTCTCTCCTCAGACCTCTCTCCTCAGACCTCTCTCCTCAGACTCTCTCCTCAGACTCTCTCTCCTCAGACTCTCTCCTCAGACTCTCTCCTCAGACTCTCTCCTCAGACTCTCTCTCCTCAGACTCTCTCTCCTCAGACCTCTCTCCTCAGACTCTCTCTCCTCAGACTCTCTCTCCTCAGACTCTCTCTCCTCAGACCTCTCTCCTCAGACCTCTCTCCTCAGTCTCTCTCCTCAGACTCTCTCCTCAGACCTCTCTCCTCAGACCTCTCTCGGTTCAGACCTCTCTCTTTAGACCTCTCTCCTCAGACCTCTCTCCTCAGACCTCTCTCCTCAGACCTCTCTCCTCAGACTCTCTCCTCAGACTCTCTCCTCAGACTCTCTCCTCAGACTCTCTCCTCAGACTCTCCTCCTCAGACCTCTCTCCTCAGACTCTCTCCTCAGACTCTCTCCTCAGACCTCTCTCCTCAGACTCTCTCCTCAGACTCTCTCTCCTCAGACTCTCTCTCCTCAGACTCTCTCCTCAGACTCTCTCTCCTCAGACCTCTCTCCTCAGACCTCTCTCCTCAGACTCTCTCCTCAGACTCTCTCCTCAGACCTCTCCTCAGACTCTCTCTCCTCAGACTCTCTCTCCTCAGACTCTCTCCTCAGACTCTCTCTCTTTAGACCTCTCTCCTCAGACCTCTCTTGGTCTGTGTGCAGAGGTGAGGAGCTGTGTGAGGGGTTTGGAGCACGTGGCCGATGCCTTTTCCTCGAGTGGCTGTGAACTGTAAACAGGCACAGACTTCTCTCTGTCTACTTTCACTTCCCACAACAGCAGAAAGTCATGTGACCTCAGCTAGAAATGTGACCGACGTACGGCTGCAAGAAACGTATTTGGAAATCACAGTGAAGTGGTGATTTCAATGTGTTACATATAGTTTGCAATGATATAAAGTCCCAAACAGCAGCATGTGGAGGAGATGTGTGGAAAATAAACTCACAAAAAGGCCTGAGTCTGGATATGGACCAGGAGCAAATATGGCTTAACCCCAAAATGTCCTAACAACAGGTTTCTCTGTGGTTTTACATAGTTGTTACAAAAAAACGTACTAAAAGTCTGACAATTCTAATCCCCTAGCTCAATGAATCCTAATAGGGAAGTGCTCATGGGTGAAGATTGGCTCCAACTTGCTCTGGCTCCCATTGACTTACATTGAAAAGTTCACTCTGCCAGCCCAGTAACCTTCAGGCTTTAACGATATGTTGTTATGGCTCTCTATGATCCTGTGATCTCGTTTTTGTAAATCTAGATATGAGCCATAAGGATTGACCAATCAGATGCCTTCATTCGTGGGGAATCTGCAGCTTACCTTTGCAACCATGTTAGCAACACATCTGCTCTTGCTACAGTGCAAAGCTAACCATCTGTGACGTTAGCACTCGGCTCTCATATACAGTCTTTAACTTCAGCTGAATTTTCTTTTAATCAATAGTATTTTATTTATTTAGATCTAGAGTTGGATTTCAAATGTGTCATTGATTGTAAATAGTGTTTGAGGAAGACAAAAGAACATTGACAAAAACAACAAGAATTGCATCTGCTACAGAGCAAAGAAACTACATTACTAAATACTACTTATTTGTTCACTTTGAGTTGCGCTGGGTTTGACTTGTGTTCTGGGCTTGTTCACACTAAAGGGCACAAAACTGTGACAAAAGGCCAAAAATTAGATTTTAATAATCAGAAGATATTTTATGTTTTTCATGTTTCCAAACACCTACTCTGTTCATTAGAAGTTTCTAGAACGAAACTGTTTTATACATTAGAAAAGTTTCCTGAAGCTGCCTGTTTATTTTATGTAACGGTGATGATTTGACAGAATGAGCTTTGTGGAAGTTTGATGGTATTTTCAGATGTCCACATTTGATTCAGAGATTCTATTTTTTTACACAAAGTAGATGCAAAGTGATACTTTCATATTGTCAAGCAAATAAATCTGAAAACAGACCAGATTTTTTTTTCTCACGTTTAATTTTTAGAGAAAAGAGGACTGTCCTCATCACGTCCGTTACACATTTTTCAGGGGTCATTTAATTAATTAATTAGTTTTTATTTTTTTACGATTCCTTTTTATAATCAAGTGATTTCCTTCTGTTGTGTTAACCATGTAAATCTTGTGGGATTTCATCTTCTGCTTTTTCAGACTGAGGACATTTTATTTTCTATGTAACTGGCGTCACAGTAGAATGGTCCAATCAGAGGCTCATTTGGTCGTTTAAAATGTTGCTAAAAAAATGTATGTCAATCTTTCCTTTTGATTTTTTCCACACTATCTCTTCAATCTGTCTGTGTTTGAAATCTTTTTTTCCAATCTATGAAAGTAATTTTAGTTTTTAAGTTATAACCTTTTAAAGTCCAGATACTTCAATTGTCACTTTACTGTGAACACACTCATAAAAATAAACTTGCCTTGAACAACCCTAGTCCTGATATAAGATAGCAAGATATATTATATTAATATTTAAATCGTATATTCCAAACAGTCTTATAGCAGGTTCAGAAAATGTTAGCAAATGTTAGCAGACATTAGCAGACATTAGCCGACATCAGATTTGTGTTGATTTTCTGATCTGTGTTGACATTTCAATGGTTTTATTAAAGAAGCTATACCCAATTTTTTTTCTAAGTAGTTCATAAAAATGCTTTTTACTACATACAAGTTGTATCATAATACATAATTTAATTGAAAACTTGAGGTAATTGATTCAGCTGTGTAAGAATTACAAGCAGTGAAAAGTGCTCAGCTGAGTCTAAGGTCTGTTTCACACCGCACACGAATTCGTGAACAAATTCGTCTTCGAAACCCGTTCGCGTGCATTCGCAAGCTGCGCTTCAAGTCGCGTCCTGTTGTGCAAATGAGAAAGCTCTTCTGTGTACAGACCGGCGCTGAGGCGGCGCGCAGGGAATCGGCGCGCGCCGCTGCGGCCTCCGCTCCTGAAACCAAAAATGGAACTCGAGCGCATTTTTTCCGCGTGTAGGCTGCGCAGCGAAGCGGCTTTCAGCACGAAAATATTCAAAAAATAACTTTTATAAAGCAATTTCACGTTTATCTAATCTCATTATTGTAATGCATAAGTACATATAAGTTTATTATTTTAATTACACAATTTTCCATGTCATACTTTTTTTTAATGCATAAAATATAATTGTAACATATATTATATATAATATATATATATATATATATATATATATATATATATATATATATATATATATATATATATATATTATAATTATAACCTAACCTTAACCCCCATGGAGATCCAGGCCTTCCCCACACCTTATAATTAACTATGATAATGAAACGACAATCAAAATAGGCTATAAGATACATTATAAGGAAATGTTAGCAATTTATTTAAGGTCTATATGTGCTATTTTGATTTCTGACCTGTTATTTCAGACAACATATGTAAATATACAACATGTTTATTAGTTTGGAGTACAATACTACTCCTTTTGTGCGTGCTACTCGTCTAGGCGCTTCGCCCACGCTCGGCGTGAATACATGCGCACGCCGCGAGGTAGTTCGGCTGGAAAGGGCGCTCGGCTCTGCGCTCGACGTGCGGTGTGAAACAGGCCTTAGCTGGCCGTTCTCCTCCGCTCACAGAACGAGCAGTGAACAGCCTGCGTCCTCTAGTCTCTACAGCCTGCGTCCTCTAGTCTCTACAGCATGTGTCCTCTAGTCTCTACAGCCTGTGTCCTCTAGTCTCTACAGCCTGTGTCCTCTAGTCTCTACAGCCTGTGTCCTCTAGTCTCTACAGCCTGTGTCCTCTAGTCTCTACAGCCTGTGTCCTCTAGTCTCTACAGCCTGTGTCCTCTAGTCTCTACAGCCTGTGTCCTCTAGTCTCTACAGCCTGTGTCCTCTAGTCTCTACAGCCTGTGTCCTCTAGTCTCTACAGTCTGCGTCCTCTAGTCTCTACAGCCTGTGTCCTCTAGTCTCTACAGCCTGTGTCCTCTAGTCTCTACAGCCTGTGTCCTCTAGTCTCTACAGCCTGCATCCTCTAGTCTCTACAGCCTGTGTCCTCTAGTCTCTACAGCCTGCATCCTCTAGTGTCTACAGCCTGTGTCCTCTAGTCTCTACAGCCTGTGTCCTCTAGTCTCTACAGCCTGTGTCCTCTAGTCTCTACAGCCTGTGTCCTCTAGTCTCTACAGCCTGTGTCCTCTAGTCTCTACAGCCTGCATCCTCTAGTCTCTACAGCCTGTGTCCTCTAGTCTCTACAGCCTGCATCCTCTAGTGTCTACAGCCTGTGTCCTCTAGTCTCTACAGCCTGTGTCCTCTAGTCTCTACAGCCTGTGTCCTCTAGCCTCTACAGCCTGTGTCCTCTAGTCTCTACAGCGCTGCTTAACACCAGGGCTTCCACTTCAAAATTCGAATATAATTCTAAAATAAAAAATGATGAACAAAATAATTGAATAAAAAAATGTGAACAAATATTAGACAACCCTTGTAATTCGAAATGTATTTAATGACTGCAAATAAAATAGTTAACCTAGCTCCCAAAGGTTTCACCGGGACGTGCTAGGCAGGTAACAGCTAAGCTAGCTAGTTGTTTCATGGTAACTTCCGGGTTTTTCGCAATCGCTTTTTGTCACATTGAAACCGTATTTTTGTCATGAAAACGTTAACAGCAAATTCTGAAATCATCCGTGCATGTGTGTTTAGGATGTATATGTGAACTGTATTGTCCGAGTGACGTTTAATGGTGTTGATTGATAGGTATGTAGTTGTTTATTGAGCGTGGCTAGCTCCGCTAGCTCCGTTGGCTTCACTACACAGACGAGTGATAGTGACAGGCGCTGATAGCTTGTTGTACTTGCAGAGTAATGGCAGTATTTTACACACCTGAATTACAAACAGAGATTGCATTGGGGCTTCGGTCATTATTGGTTTGAGAGTTCTGTTATCAAGAAAAATGATCGGAAGAATTACTGCTGCTGCTTTGAGGAGCTCTATAACAAATTATAATTAAATATTAGAATATATTCTAAGGTTTTAAATTAATACATTCGGACGCGTGGGCGACAGTAGCTCAGTTGGTAGAGCATTGGCCTTCAGGCCTGAAGGTTGTGGGTTCAATTCCCACCTCTACACCTTCTCCACCGACTCCCACTGATGACTGCTGTCGTTGTGTCCTTGGGCAAGACACTTAACCCCACTTTGCCCAAAGCCCCCACTGAAAGATCAAGGCTATGCTCACACTCAGAGAGCAGCCTCCTGTGGACTCACCACCTGCAGAGGGTCAGTGAGGGGCTGGTGCTATGAGACTTGGGTGGCATCTGTCACCCCCCTGACCCAGACATGGATTAAAGGGAAGAACATGGATGGACATTCGGACGCGAAACTAGCGGTATTCTTTTAATTATATATTGTGTTAGCAGTGCGTTGCTTTAGTGCCATTTCATCAGTGATTGTTGCACAGCTTACAAGAAGTTGCGCTAATGCTAATGTTAGCATATTTATCAGATCGCAAATAAAACTAGGTGGCTCTGTGTTATGAGAGCGCAGGGGAAATGAGAAGCCATTGAGCGAGTTGGGGGCGGTGCTAAACATTCAAACATTGCAGAAACGGGTATAGCGCCTTTAAGTCCTCTGAGATAACTGCCGTTGTGATTTAGGACTATACAAGAATTAATTTAATCAAACTAAATTGAACAGCAGTTGTTATTGCTGTAATTTACAGTAAATCCTGACAAAATCACAAACACAAAAGACATAGTTCGGCATTATTATTCTTGGTTGCCTTTTCCAAGAGAAGTGATTTCCAAACCAGAGAGAAGGCAGAAAGCTGCTCTCTCTTTGGTTTCCAAATCCGATCTCCCAGACCAGGCTTAAACTTGCTCTTGCTCGGCCGTAAGCTCAGCCCCCTTTCATACATACACTTTAAAGCAGCACCTTTGGTATTTATATTTCCATACATAGTTCCCACATGACGTCACTACATACGGGGATTTGCCGACCCGGTGCCATTTGTGTTGGCATGCTGTGGGCAAAACAATAGAAAAAGAAGCTGAAACGTGTTAATGTCGTGATAAAGTTGAAAATGGTCATCTCCTGCTGGGTCAATGGATGTTCAAATCGTGCCGGAGGTTCCGTTAAACTTGGATTTTACAGTATACCCATCATTAGACTTCATGAATGTGAGAAGACTAAGCTTTTGTCAGAACAACGACGGAGGTTATGGCTTGCGAAGATAAACAGGCAAGAAACTCCCTCAAAACACGCAAGAATATGCTCGGAGCACTTTGTGTCAGGTGCGTATTGTATCTTATAATGTGTTGACAGACGTAATTTACTCAGTACTAACTTGTGTATGCTGATATCTGGTAACTTGAGAGTTTCATTTTATTTAGCGTTAGATTACTTTATTATGAGGAGGATCGGTGTCGCGTCCGAGGCTCTCGAGGGCAACGTAAATGTATTAAATAGATAATAATAGTTCTATGGTGGGCTAAAACAATGTTCACAAACAGCATTGCTTCTGTAAAAAGATCTGTGTCATAAAATAAACTGCTCTTTACGCCTGGAAAAATCAGTTGCCCACCATTCACCAAAACATACGGTCAAAAACGCGGAAATAAACAATAACAGCAATCCAGAGTGTCCGTGTGGCATTAGCATTAATTAAATTAATTGTTAATATAATTAAAATAATTAAATGGAGCTCCAACTGGTATTAAATCTAAAGTTTTTGAGAAATGTTTGCATTGCTTGTTAATTTTTGCTGCATAATTTGATCAAATATGTAAAACATGTCCGTAGCACGTTAAACTGTGGTGCCATTGTATTAATATACAATTATTTGCTCAAAAGTTGCCCTTTTTTTCCAATTTGCGTTTGAATATCTACATTTATTCTCATTCTTCTGTTTAATGGAATGCACAAACACAGCAGCGTGCCATCAAAGATGGCGTCTCCGAGGAGGTCATGTGACATTCATTGGTCTGTGGGAACTATGCATAGTCCAGAACAGGAGAAGTGGCAGAGACAATGGCGTTCTCACACGGTCCTCTTCAAACAGGCCTCTTCGTCCAGACCGGCCGTAGCCAGCGGTGAATTCAGTTTATATTTTAGCCACATGTGGTTTACTAAAATTATAACTTAAATAACATTCCAATGACATTAGCAGATGTTAGCAGCTGTTAGCAGATGTTAGCAGCTGTTAGCAGATGTTAGCAGCTGTTAGCAGATGTTAGCAGCTGTTAGCAGATGTTAGCAGATGTTAGCAGACGTTAGCAGATGTTCAGATGTTAGCAGACGTTAGCAGATGTTCAGACGTTAGCAGACGTTAGCAGACGTTAGCAGACGTTAGCAGACGTTAGCAGACGTTAGCAGACGTTAGCAGACGTTAGCAGACGTTAGCAGACGTTAGCAGACGTTAGCAGACGTTAGCAGACGTTAGACGTTAGCAGACGTTAGCAGACGTTAGCAGACGTTAGCAGACGTTAGACGTTAGCAGACGTTAGCAGACGTTAGCAGACGTTAGCAGACGTTAGCAGACGTTAGCAGACGTTAGCAGACGTTAGCAGACGTTAGCAGATGTTCAGACGTTAGCAGACGTTAGCAGCTGTTAGCAGATGTTCAGACGTTAGCAGACGTTAGCAGCTGTTAGCAGACGTTAGCAGATGTTCAGACGTTAGCAGACGTTAGCAGACGTTAGCAGACGTTAGCAGACGTTAGCAGACGTTAGCAGACGTTAGCAGACGTTAGCAGACGTTAGCAGACGTTAGCAGACGTTAGCAGACGTTAGCAGACGTTAGCAGCTGTTAGCAGACGTTAGCAGACGTTAGCAGACGTTAGCAGCTGTTAGCAGACGTTAGCAGACGTTAGCAGACGTTAGCAGACGTTAGCAGACGTTAGCAGACGTTAGCAGACGTTAGCAGACGTTAGCAGACGTTAGCAGACGTTAGCAGACGTTAGCAGACGTTAGCAGACGTTAGCAGATGTTCAGACGTTAGCAGACGTTAGCAGACGTTAGCAGACGTTAGCAGACGTTAGCAGACGTTAGCAGACGTTAGACGTTAGCAGACGTTAGCAGACGTTAGCAGACGTTAGCAGACGTTAGCAGACGTTAGCAGACGTTAGCAGACGTTAGCAGACGTTAGCAGACGTTAGCAGACGTTAGCAGCAGCTGTAGTGGGTTGTAGCTGTGGTTTGGCTCTTGTCTTCCTCCCTGTGGCCTCAATCTTCTTGTTTTGATCCAGATTTTTATTGTCGTTAACCGTAATTCTGTGTCTGTCACTTCTGTTTAAAACTGGGACACGGTGTCACTCGGGGAAAAGAGCAAACTAACTTTTCTTACTGTATTTGCTGTGGGCTGTTTGTGCAGCGGTTCATTTTGGGGTTAAGACATTGTAGACATGTTCTGTAATGCTTATGGACTTTCTGGGTTAGTTTGGAGGTGTTATTGTGAAAAGAGAGAAAACAACGTCTGAGATAAGTTACAGCCCCAGTTTTCAGCTCAAAGTAGAAGAAAATAAACCAAATGCATTTGATCACAGCTGAAAGATCATATTTCAGAGATCAGAAAAGTCAAACTCTTGGGTTTTCAAATCCCAAAAGTGGAACTATGAAACTCATCTGCAGGATCTCGCTCTCATAGCAGTTTGGTTTTAACTAGTTTCCACAGTTTATTTATTTTTTGTCTGTGTTTAAACATTGTTAGATCAGTTTTTTACGATAGAAAATTGAGAAAGGAGAAAGTAACAGTTCTTAGCTAGTATGTTAAATGTGTCATAATCTCTAATAGCATTAATACATAGACTATAGAGGGATCCTACGGTCACGTGACTAGCAGCCACGGCAGCCATCCTACGGTCACGTGACCAGCAGCCACGGCAGCCATCCTACGGTCACGTGACCAGCAGCCACGGCAGCCATCCTACGGTCACGTGACCAGCAGCCACGGCAGCCATCCTACGGTCACGTGACCAGCAGCCACGGCAGCCATCCTACGGTCACGTGACCAGCAGCCACGGCAGCCATCCTACGGTCACGTGACTAGCAGCCACGGCAGCCATACTGGAGGACAACCTCGGCGAGTAACAGCCCTGCTAGCTCTCTATAACTGGACGTTCAAAACTAGAACTCTCTCGAACTACATGAAAACTGAACATAGCATTTGTAACTTCAGCAGTTAGTGACCCAAAGATATACTCAACCTAAATTCATGAATCAGATCCTCTGAAAATGCGTCCTAAAATGTATTATTAATGTTTATCGTTACATCCAGGTTTACCGCGGTCGCATATTGTCGCATTAAAACAGTGTTTTTTCATGAACAGAACATTCTGAAAACCTCTGTGCACGTGTGTTAAGAATGTATATGTATAATGTATTCTCCGATTAACATTTAATGTGTTTATTGTTACACCATGGATCTATGTGTGGCTACACTGCAGTGGAAATAATGAGATTACATTCAAATCAATGGAGCTTTCTGCGTCTACTGTGAGGAGCCGTATATTTTATTAATAAATACTAGTACGGGGCACCCTGGAGCACGGCTCAGTCGTTCACATGTCTGCTGGCCTTTGGTAAGTCAGATCCCCTGTGAACAGCTAAGCTACAAGCTAAGCTACAGTCTATGCTACAAGCTAAGCTACAGTCTATGCTACAAGCTAAGCTACAGTCTATGCTACAAGCTAAGCTACAGTCTATGCTACAAGCTAAGCTACAGTCTATGCTACAAGCTAAGCTACAGTCTATGCTACAAGCTAAGCTACAGTCTATGCTACAAGCTAAGCTACAGTCTATGCTACAAGCTAAGCTACAGTCTATGCTACAAGCTAAGCTACAGTCTATGCTACAAGCTAAGCTACAGTCTATGCTACAAGCTAAGCTACAGTCTATGCTACAAGCTAAGCTACAGTCTATGCTACAAGCTAAGCTACAGTCTATGCTACAAGCTAAGCTACAGTCTATGCTACAAGCTAAGCTACAGTCTATGCTACAAGCTAAGCTACAGTCTATGCTACAAGCTAAGCTACAGGCTATGCTACAAGCTAAGCTACAGTCTATGGAGCAACCCCACGTTGCAGTCAGACAGATATGTTTTATCCTTAAACTTCTGTTTGTTTTGGAATAACACTAAATCCGCCATCAAATTGATTTTACTTAACAGAAATGAAATGATCCGAGCATAATCGGGCGCTCTGGGGGCTATTAGTTTTTTGTTGTTGCGAATATGTTGTGCCATTTCTCTCTCGTTTCTTTGAGATTTCTTCTGTTTTTGAGCCGTGTGAAGTAAGGACGGCTGGCAGTCGGTAACAACTTATTTTCCCTGTCTCTCCTTTTGCTGCAGCCAAAAACGGCAAAAATGTTGAACATGTTTATGCGGTCCCGGGTGCACGCCACTATCATACAGCGTTTGCTTGTCCTCCAGTATGGCGGATGCCCCGCGAGTTCGAGGCATCGTGACGTCACGTGAGATATCTATATATCCATAGCTCAGTGAAGCCATGTTGGAAAGTGCTCAGGGACAAAGTTTAGCTTTAGCTTTCATTCACTTAAAGAAAACACTCACCCTTTTGGGATTTTTGTATTTTCTCTAATGGTTTTGCAGTGTTTTGTTTCCTGATATTGTTTGTTAATTCAGATTTGTCCCTTAAAAACTGACCAATCAGGGTCTTCTTTTTTCCTGACTTTGATACACTGGCGCCTCTCCTGATTGGCTCTCGGTTGCCCAGCCGTTGTCACCCACAAAATTGCATCCATTTGGGTTCGGATTGACGCTAAAATGGCCTGTTCGACTTCTACGGTTTATGGACGATAACAACATCCTTGTGGTCGGATTTGTTTTCAATATTTTACTTTTTTCTGTTTCCATTATTTATGTGTAACACGGTGGTGCTTGGGCTTCACAACAAGAGGCTCCAGGGTTCGATCCCACCTCCAGGTGTGTGGAGTTTGCATGTTCTCCCCGTGTCTGTGTAGGTTTCCTGCAGGTGTTCCGGTTTCCCCTACCTCTAAAAACATGCACAACAGGTCTGGCATGTGCCTCCTGTAGGTGCTAACCCTGACACTAGGCCTCAGTGCTTTGATTCTGGTCTGTGAAAGGTGCTGTATAAATAAACATCACTTACTAAACTGAGCATTAATATTACAAACAACTTTTAAGGTGTTTAAATAATAAAAAAATTGCTCAAATTTGGCAAAATGTTTCTTAATTTGAGCACATTCCGACTAAGCCTAAAACCAGATTCCCCAGAGAAACAGAACACAATTATCTTGTTTTAAAAAGATACAGAAATGTCTCCTTTGGAATGAGGAAATAAAGACACAGTTCTTAAATCAGACTAAATGTCTTTGTCCCGTTGGAGAATCTGGTTTAAACTCAGTCAAAATGTGTCAGATTAAGACAAAAACACTAGATTCCAGCAGTTATTACCTCATATTTGATCATTTCTTGCGGTGTATTAAGTAGATTGTGTCAGACTTTTCCCTGACCTCCTTCTCTCTGTCTCCAGCAGAGGGCAGCATCATTAAAGTGCGGCGTCTGTGTAAGTTCTGTGATGTCAGACACACGCAGTGTAACGGCAAAGGCAGCTGCAAAGTGGACTGTGGCATCACCGCCATCTGCCCCAACGCCAGCGACGTCTGCGTCACCATCTGGTACGTCACAATCTTCTCTATATGGTTAGAACTCTCGCTGCTCAGCAAGAAAGTCCTGGGTTCGAATCCCGGGCGGAACAGGGCATTTCTGAGAGGAGTTTGCATGCTCTCCCGGTGTCTACGTAGGTTTCCTCTGGGTGCTCCGGTGTCCCCTACCAATCTATTTAACAATAAAATGTGTGAGATGCCGTCTTGAAAATATTTTCCGTCCGACCGTAGCGTGGATAGAGAATTCTTTTAGTTTGAGAATCCTTATCCTATATCCTGATCTGTCTTTGAGCAGTGTGTATATGTGCTGCGGCTGTATGTGCTGCGGCTGTATGTGCTGCGGCTGTATGTGCTGCTGCTGTATGTGCTGCCGCTGTATGTGCTGCCGCTGTATGTGCTGCGGCTGTATGTGCTGCGGCTGTATGTGCTTCTGCGGCTGTATGTGCTGCTGCTGTATGTGCTGTTGTATGTGCTGCGGCTGTATGTGCTTCTGCGGCTGTATGTGCTGCTGCTGTATGTGCGGCTGCTGTATGTGCGGCTGCTGTATGTGCTGTTGTATGTGCTGCGGCTGTATGTGCTGCGGCTGTATGTGCTGCTGTATGTGCTGCTGCTGTATGTGCTGTTGTATGTGCAGCTGTATGTGCTGCGGCTGTATGTGCTGCTGTATGTGCTTCTGCGGCTGTATGTGCTGCTGTATGTGCTTCTGCGGCTGTATGTGCTGCTGTATGTGCTTCTGCAGCTGTGTGTGCTGCGGCTGTGTGTGCTGCGGCTGTGTGTGCTGCGGCTGTATGTGCTGCGGCTGTATGTGCTGCGGCTGTGTGTGCTGCGGCTGTATGTGCTGCTGTGTGTGCTGCGGCTGTATGTGCTGCTGTTCTATGTGCTTCTGCAGCTGTATGTGCTGCTGTATGTGCTTCTGCGGCTGTGTGTGCTGCGGCTGTATGTGCTGCGGCTGTATGTGCTGCGGCTGTGTGTGCTGCGGCTGTGTGTGCTGCGGCTGTATGTGCTGCGGCTGTATGTGCTGCGGCTGTGTGTGCTGCGGCTGTATGTGCTGCTGTGTGTGCTGCGGCTGTATGTGCTGCTGTTCTATGTGCTTCTGCGGCTGTATGTGCTGCGGCTGTATGTGCTGCTGTATGTGCTTCTGCGGCTGTGTGTGCTGCGGCTGTATGTGCTGCGGCTGTATGTGCTGCGGCTGTGTGTGCTGCGGCTGTATGTGCTGCTGTATGTGCTTCTGCGGCTGTGTGTGCTGCGGCTGTATGTGCTGCGGCTGTATGTGCTGCGGCTGTGTGTGCTGCGGCTGTATGTGCTGCTGTTCTATGTGCTTCTGCGGCTGTATGTGCTGCGGCTGTATGTGCTGCTGTATGTGCTTCTGCGGCTGTGTGTGCTGCGGCTGTATGTGCTGCGGCTGTATGTGCTGCGGCTGTGTGAAATACCGTGAAGGAGCAGCCTCTGGGTCCTGCTGCTGAAGGCGGAGCACAGCGGGACGTCCCATCTGCATTAGTGCACGGTCAGGCCTTTTGCTCGTGTCCTGTTTGTAATGGGAAGTGGAAGTCCCGCTGATGGAGCTGTTCACATTCTCTGGAGGCCGTACGCTCATCACGGCAAATATAGATCCTGTGGTTCACAACGAGGAGCAAAACTCTGTCGTTATTTACACTTTTGAGCAGAAAAAGCAAAGACTCATTTCTCCAAAGGTGACACAGACCCAGGCAAGATTTTTGTTATTTCACCTCATATTCAGACATTACAAAAAACCTTGGTCTTTTTTTTTGGTTATTATTTTCTCACGCCCTGTGCACAAACAAGATGCTGTATATTCTGGAATACAAACGATACGAATACCAGGGGCCAGTCAGGGGCCGAATCTGAGCTTGGTTTGAGCAGTGTGTGGACTGTGACGGTAACAAATGGTTCAGAGGGTTTTGTTTTTCGGTCAGAAGGTGTTTGGGACGATGTGTTGTTAGTTGATTGTGGGTTTAGTGATTAGAGCATCTCCTGTGACAGTTCACCGTCTGCTTCTGTTTCCATGGATCATTCACACTTTCATAGTTTTGATTAGGAAAAGATTGAGCTTGGAGCTGAAATCTACCTCAGCGTTGCTTCTCTATGACTTGGTTTTAAGCACTTTTGCATCAAACTGGATCTCAACCTGGGGCGACAGTGGCTCAGTTGGGAGAGCATTGGCCTTTGAGCCAGAAGGTTGTGGGTTCGAGCCCATCATGGGAACTGCTCCCATTAATGTCTGCTGTCGTTGTGTCCTTGGGCAAGACACTTAACCCCACATTGCCTGCCTGAAGCTCCCGCTGAAACACCAGACTGTGTCACCACTGATGTAGCAGCCCCCCCCCTGCAGAGGATCAGAGGGACTGGTGCTGTGAGGACTGGGGGCAGCTCTGATTGTCACCCCCTGACCCAGAAATGGACTAATAAAGGGGTAGAAAATGAATGAATTGCATCTCAACCCTTTGGTAAAGGCCTAAAAGCAATACATTTCTTTCCTTTCCTGATCATTAAAGGGTTAAGAACATTTCCACAACAACATGACACGACAGGACGAGGGTTAGCTTCTGGAAAACCTTCGTTCTCTATTTTCAAATGATAATGACCATAAAAGGGCGACACAGTGGTTGAGTCTCGCTTCTCAGTAGAAGGTCCTGGGTTTGAATGCTGTCCAGGTCAGAACGAGGCCTTTCTGAGTGGAGTTTGCATGTTCTCCCCCTGCTTGGGTTTCCCCTTCCACTAAAACATGTACAATAGTTAAAATATGGTCCAGCTCTGATCCTGACAAGAAATAAAACATCAGTATTGGATATGTTGATAAAAGTCCATAGAAAACAACAAATAACTAAAAGAAGCCCCAGATATCATAGGTTTGAGCACCTTTCACTGTCTGCTGGTGTCACACATGGTTTGGGTGAAAACGGCAGAGTTTGTGAATCCCTGAACCAGAAGTCGGCTCATGTTACTGATGTTTTCTCAGGAGGAAGAACGACGACAATGTGACGTTTGACACCATCTGCCACAACCCGGAGCAGAAGCTTCACGGTCTGCAGCTCGACGACTACAACAACAGCAAGTGTGAGATGAGAGAGCGCGGCGGCTTCCACATCTGCTCCTGCTACGAGGAAGAGTGCAACGGCCACGTCTTCTTCAACGCCCGTGAGTCACACCCGCATCCTCCTGTCTGTGTCCCGCTGGTGCAGAGGGTACACTGCAAAAACTGAGTATAAGGTGATAAATAAGATAAGACAGAATATATGGATCTGATGGAGAAATGGACATGTGACATCACAGGTAGAAGCACTCAGATTTGTGCAAAAGACAGAAGTGTGAAACGGCGGCACGGTGGCTGAGTGGTTAGCACTCTCGCCTCTCAGCAAGAAGGTTCTGGGTTCGAATCCCGGTTGGAACAGGGTCTTTCTGAGCGGAGTTTGCATGTTCTCCCTGTGTCTGCGATGGTTTTCTCCGGTTTCCCCTACCCCTAAAAACATGTGCAATAGTCTGCATGTAATGAGTGAATGGTGTTGACTGGAGGTTGTGATGGACCAGTCTGAACGCTGTAAAGCTGTGGGAGACTTTGGTCTGTAAAATGTGCCATATAAATAAACATTACTAAACAAGCTGTACAGAAACCCAAGTATTCGGTTCATCTGGAAAAAATCTGGTTTTACAGCAGTCATTCTAACGAGCCAATTCACAGCTGACTCTCATCCGCCAACATGTGTTCAACTAAACACATCCTAAACCCGGACCACGTGTGAACACGCGTGAACACGCTACATCTGTGTTTCATCAGAGCGCTCACTGTGACATCACCGACACATGTACAGCTCCTGGAAGGCGTCTGCAGGCTCCGGGCACACTCTGCGCTGGACTCGTCTGTCTTTGGAGCAGAATCAAAACACTTCCTGGACCTGTGCTGCGTCGTCACGTCATGGAAAAGTGCTCATGGGGGAAGAGGAATGTCTTCCGTCTTCTCCTTTTGAGCTTTCTTTATTTCTTGAATTATATGAATTATTTGTGCTTTGAGGATTTGCCAAGTTCTGAATTCCATCTACAATCCTTGCTTTTAATTCTATTCACAATTTTTGCTTGTTCCTGTTTTGAGCTCAGTTTAGTCTCAGTTTAGACCTTTCCAAGTCCACTTTCAGTCCATGGTTGCTCTGCCTTTTTAAAGTTATTCCCATGTTTTCGTCTCATCACTTCTTCCCAAAGCAGTTTATTTGAAAGACTTAACGTCACTCTCTCTCCTCAGTTTCCAGTTTGAGCCGGGATCCAACCGTGTAACTTTGCACCGTGTTATTTTGCCGTGGAGTTACTATGATCAGCCTCGGCACTTTAGCAGCCGTCGTTTGTCATTAGCTGCTTTTCCAGTCTCCGTGGTTTAGCCGCATTTGCGAGAGAACCCTTGAAATAACAGGTGCTGCTTTTTCTCCCGCTCTTCACCAAATACGCTTTCTGTAATTTGTGGTTATTGACTTAGAATGGTCCCTGTGTCTGGATGTTCTGCATGTTTTGGCCGTTCCATGTCCAGGGTCACAGGCCTGAGGCACGTGTCGAGTCTAAAGCTTCTGATTCTACAGAAAATCCAAACGCAGCGTCTGGGGCCACGGCGAGGGTTTCAGACATGTGGTTTCCTGTGAGGGAAGGAGAGGGCTGAGTAAACTAACGCCCTGCTGCTGCTCTGCACTTGTTTCTATGTCAACATGCAACTTCTTTAGACGCTTTTACAAGTCAGATCTCACATGTTATAACTTCTTATGCTCCCACCTGATCTCACATGTCATGCATACGTGCAATAACCCTGCATAAACTATATATTTAACCTTTAACATGTTTCACACTTCTGTCTTTTACACAATCTGACTGATTCTATCTGTGCTACGTGACATGTACATTTCTCCATCAGAGATTAACAAAGTCTGTCTTATCATTTAAACTGATGTCAGAATGTGCAATATGAAACCACATGTACCACTGTCGCTTCAGCAGATTGATTGCCTGGTCTTACCATGTGTAAACTCTGGTCCATGATCATTTCCTACATGTACGTCTGGTCTTACCATGTGTAAACTCTGGTCCATGGAGAATGTGATAGTAAAATAATCTGTTCTGGTTCAATCCAAATATCAAGAAACTGAAGCCGGAGCAAGAGGAATGTTTAGTAAATGTCATTGAAGCAAAGATGTTGTGGCTCTACTCCCCACGGGCTCCGTTAGTGGCAAAGGAGATGGATAAAGCTAGGCTACATGCTAAAGCTAGGCTACATGCTAAAGCTAGGCTAAATGCTAAAGCTAGGCTACATGCTAAAGCTAGGCTAAATGCTAAAGCTAGGCTAAATGCTAAATGCCTCACTCACTCGGGCTCATTACATACGTCACAGTAAACTCAGATCCAATGGTTTCAATCTGCAAAAGGAGTTAGCCCCTCCCACCTGTTAACGGAGTCAATGGAGACAATCCAGACCTTAGTACAAAATGAAATGAGTACTATGGTGTGGTAAGACCAGGCTAGAGATTTTTTGCTTGCTTCTTTGTTAAGCTAAAGTCAGAGATTTCTTTTTATTTTAGTATTTTGTTCACTTGTGCTGTGTGCTCCTCGTTCCTACTGCTCTGTAACCGGTGATTGCAACACTGGCATTTCCCCGCTGTGGGACCATTAAAGGTATTTGTTTTCGGATCACGATGGATGTAGATCAGTTGCTGCTCGTCGTGGTCGTAGGAGACTAAAAGTAAACCGTCAACATGTTTCATTTTTCATATATTTCTGTATTCTACATTTCAAACCAACGATTTCAGGACTTTCCCTGAGTTTTAAAAGCAGACCACACGTATAAACTTTGTAAAATGATAAACTGTCCTTTAGCGGCTCGTCTCACCACCGGCATCAGAGTCAGACGCTTCACACAGACCCAATCTGTGGTCGGGACCAGGGTCTAACTTTAGCCTCGCCTCAGCCGCAGAGAAAGTCTGCTCCGTGTTATTGTCTTTCAGAGACGTGACGTGGATTTGAACCAGATCTGCCGTTTGTAGTAAAACCACATTGGAATACTTGTGCAAAAGTCCCCAGTGTGCAGCAGACAAGGTAAAAGGTCTAAGTCTAAAAGTTTAAAAAGTGTCAACAAACCAATCAAAAACCTTAAAAACCTTTTATTTTTCATATAAAGGGAAGAAAAAAAGGGGGGAAAAAATCACAAAAAGGTTGAAAAACAGGAAAATCAGGAAGATGAAAAAAATAAAGTACAAAAATAAGTTTCAAAAAATAAATAAGTGCAAGATCATTCCAGTATTTGTTCAGACTGAGAGCAGCTGAAAGAAGCCGTTAGCATGTTAGCATGTTAGCATTTTAGCATAATCAGTCCTGCATCTCCAACGATACAGTCACTTCTGTCAGAGGGAAGAAGCTGGAACATGGCTTTTCCAGGAGCCAGAAGAGTCACTGATTATTTGATGAGCTTGATTTAAGTCTGGATTAAAAAAGAACCTCCAAAACAGACATCTGTTATGACAATTACAAAGGATTAGAAAAAGAGCGAGAGAGATTGGAGCCAAATAATAAACTATTTATTTCTGTTTTTGAATCTTGTTTTTATTGTTTTAAGTTGCAAACAATATAAGCTTGAGGTGAATAATTACTTACAGTGAGTGATGCTTTATTGGAACACTATGGTTTGTTATTTTGTTCTTCTCAGTCCAAGTCAAAGTCATTGTCTTGTTTGGACAGAGGAAAGAAACAAAGAGAATGTATTTAATCTGACTTTCATCCAGGCCTGTTCTTAGTAATAATAATCCCCTCTCCTCCCTCAGACTCGGTGGAATCCCCGGTGGTGGCCGTGGTCCTGGTCAGCCTGGTCCCGCTCCTCGTCATGGCCGTGTTGGTCATCACCTCCTTCTACTTCTACCGTGTTCTCCGCCAGCGCAGAGCCACCTCCTGCCGCAAAAAGGGCTCTCCTCTGGACAGCGATCACGCCATCATGATCGACGACGAAGGCTCGGACAGCAGCTCCACGCACGCCAACAACCTCAACCACAACACGGAGCTGCTGCCCATCGCCCTGGACGCCCTGGTGGGGAAGGGCCGGTTTGCGGAGGTCTACAGGGCCAAGCTTAAGCAGGGCTCTTCCGTGAGCGAGGAGCAAGGATTCGAAACGGTCGCGGTCAAAATCTTCGCCTACGAGGAGTACGCGTCGTGGAAGAACGAGAAAGAGATTTTTTCAGACACGGATTTGCGACATGAAAACGTTTTGCATTTTCTCACGGCGGAGGAGAGGAAGGTACAGCAGCAGTATTGGATCATAACGGCCTATCACGCCAACGGGAATCTGCAAGACTTTTTGACGCATCACGTGATTGGCTGGCACGATCTGTGGGTCTTAGGAGGGTCTTTAGCCCAAGGCGTGGCCCACCTCCACAGCGACCACACAAGCTGCGGCCGAAACAAGATCGCCATTGCTCACCGGGACATTAAGAGCTCCAACATCCTGGTGAAGAGCGACCTCAGCTGCTGCCTCTGCGACTTCGGGCTGGCCCTGAGGCTCGACAGCTGTCTGTCTGTGGACGAGCTGGCCGACAGTGGACAGGTACGAGAGGGTGGGAGGGGGGGGGTGAGACAGACACAGGGAGAACATGTAAATTCCACTCACAAAGGCCTTGCTCCACCAGAATTCCAACCCAGGGCTAACCACTCTGCCACTGTGTCGCTATATAGTTCTATATTTTGGGTGAAATTGTGTAATAATTTTTTGTATGTGTGTGTGCCCGTGCGTGTGTGTGTCTGTGTCTCTGTCCATGTGTGTGTGTCCGTGTATGTGTGTGTGTGTGTGTGTGTGTGTGTGTGTGTATGGCTGTGTGTGTCTCTGTGTGTGTGTGTGTCCAGGTAGGAACAGCGAGGTACATGGCTCCAGAGGTCCTCGAGTCCAGGATAAACTTAGAAAACATTGAGTCCTTTAAACAGGCCGATGTTTACTCCATGGCCCTGGTTCTGTGGGAGATGACCTCCAGGTGCAGCGCCATCGGAGGTAAGACACAAATGTTAGCGTTAGCATTAGCATACACATCAAGCTAACTTTAAGTTCTGACGTAAGAAAAATGCAAAAGGTTCAAAGAATAAGAAAGTTTCTACAGCCCCTTTCTCCAGAACATTAGCCCACTTCCCCCCCAGCACTACTTGGCCCTACTCTTGTGTGTTTCCACCGCTCCTGGTTAACTGGTACCAGGTACTTTTTAGTACCTCTTGGTACTAAAGAGCTCTTCTGCTGGAAGCCATGGCTACCAAGGACTTTTTCTCGGGCACTGGTTGTTTGTGAGTAGATACCAAGGATACGGTACCAGATAAATTGAGATTAAGATTATGAGATACTTTATTGGTCCCACAGCGGGGAAATTTCAGTATTGCATCACCAGTTACAGACAGTTGGAATGAGGAGCACACAGCACAAGATAAATAAACAAAATAGAACTATATATAACAATATAACAATCTATAAACAAATATAAAATCTATATCTTTAACATAATAAAGAAGAAAAACATCTCTACATTTGGCAAAATAAGAAGCAGATACTGAAGCATAATGGAAACACAGTCAGAAGTAGAGTAGGGTAGAGTAGAGTAGAGTAGAGTAGAGTAGAGTAGAGTAGAGTAGAGTAGAGTAGAGTAGGGTAGAGTAGGGTAGAGTAGAGTAGAGTAGAGTAGTAGGTAGGGTAGGGTAGGGTAGGGTAGGGTAGGGTAGGGTAGGGTAGGGTAGGGTAGGGTAGGGTAGGGTAGGGTAGGGTAGGGTAGGGTAGGGTAGGGTAGGGTAGGTAGAGTAGAGTAGTAGAGTAGAGTAGGTAGGGTAGGGTAGGGTAGGGTAGGGTAGGGGAGGGTAGGGTAGGGTAGGGTAGAGTAGAGTAGAGTAGAGTAGAGTAGAGTAGGGTAGGGTAGGGTAGGGTAGGGTAGGGTAGGGTAGGGTAGGGTAGGGTAGGGTAGGGTAGGGTAGAGTAGAGTAGAGTAGAGAGCTCTATAATCTCAGCACCATTGTTGACGTTTCATGTCCCGCAGCCTCAGGAGGAACTGTAAAACTTGGGAATGTTCGGTTTGACTTTATTTAAATCTAAATGGTTCCTTTAAAGTGTGTGAGAACTGTGTCCAGAGGAGTCCGGCGTCTGTCAGTCCCAACAGTCTGAGCGTTAGTGAGACTGGAACCAAAACAAGGCCAGGATATGTGCCAATGATACAGCGTGTGATTGTGTCAGGGGCCGTATTTCACTGTGACACCGCTCTGTTTGTTCCACTTCCTGTTGGTGTCTCTGAGGTCCAGTTTACTGTCTCCACTGCCGCACCATTCTCACCGATCCAGGACCCGGAATGTTCTTTCTAATTTTATTTTACATACAATAACAACTGTTCACAGACATGTTTCTTTACCTTCACTGAAAAGTCCATTTGTCAAAGTGATTCATGGTCCGAACCAAGTGGTATAATGCTAAATGCTAATGAAGCATTTGGCATTTTACTGTGGACCAGAGCAGAGAAAATGGTCTGAACGAAGCGGCTGCTCCTCTCCTGCTGTTGGACTTTATGACTAGTGTAGATACTTTTAGAAGGATCCATTTATTTGTTTTGTTTGTATAAATGGATGAGTTTCTGCTGCGACTGGACTCCTGCATGTCTGAGTATCTATATCTATCTACAGCTCTATCTATCTACAGCTCTATCTATCTATAGCTCTATCTATATCTATATCTATCTATAGCTCTATCTATCTACAGCTCTATCTATCTACAGCTCTATCTATCTACAGCTCTATCTATCTACAGCTCTATCTATCTATATCTATCTATAGCTCTATCTATCTACAGCTCTATCTATCTATATCTATCTATAGCTCTATCTATCTACAGCTCTATCTATATCTATATCTATCTATAGCTCTATCTATCTACAGCTCTATCTATCTATATCTATATCTATCTATAGCTCTATCTATCTACAGCTCTATCTATCTACAGCTCTATCTATCTACAGCTCTATCTATCTACAGCTCTATCTATCTATATCTATCTATAGCTCTATCTATCTACAGCTCTATCTATCTATATCTATATCTATCTATAGCTCTATCTATCTACAGCTCTATCTATCTATAGCTCTATCTATCTACAGCTCTATCTACAGCTCTATCTATCTATAGCTCTATCTATCTACAGCTCTATCTATCTACAGCTCTATCTATCTACAGCTCTATCTATCTATATCTATATCTATCTACAGCTCTATCTATCTACAGCTCTATCTATCTATATCTATATCTATCTATAGCTCTATCTATCTACAGCTCTATCTATCTATAGCTCTATCTATCTACAGCTCTATCTATCTACAGCTCTATCTATCTATATCTATATCTATCTATAGCTCTATCTATCTACAGCTCTATCTATCTACAGCTCTATCTATCTACAGCTCTATCTATCTACAGCTCTATCTATCTACAGCTCTATAGTAACACAGTAAAAATCTTAAAAACATGTCTGAAGCTTCCTGGTGGGTCACTCTGGTCACTCTGGTGTGAGGGAATGGGAAATACCATCTGTGGGTTTGTGGCTGGTACTTTCCTGTTTGCAGCCTTCAGACTCGACTCTCAGCGTGTCGATCAACAGCCACGCCTGCCCTGAGGCAGACTGTACCCAACACCAGCCACGCCTGCCCTGAGGCAGACTGTACCCAACACCAGCCACGCCTGCCCTGAGGCAGACTGTACCCAACACCAGCCACGCCTGCCCCTGAGGCAGACTGTCCCGAACACCGCGACCCACAATCCCCCTTGTTTGTGCCTCAGGGCCACAGCTGCGTCCCTGTGTCCTGTGGGTGCACCCTAAAGTCTATCCTGTTTGTGAAAGAGACCAAGACCAGGACCAGGACCAGGGGTCAGACTGGGACCAGGACCATTGGTCAGACTGGGACCAGGACCAAGGGTCAGCCTGGGACCAGGACCATTGGTCAGACTGGGACCAGGACCATTGGTCAGACTGGGACCAGGACCAGGGGTCAGACTGGGACCAGGACCAGGGGTCAGACCGGGACCAGGGGACATTCCTGTATCTTTTTAAAACCAGATCATTTTGTTTTGTCCCGTTGGAGAATCTAGTTTTAATGCTGAGTCAGTATCTGCTATAATTAAGACAAATTTTGTCAAATTTGAGCAATTTTTTAACTTATTTTCCATCCATCCATCTCTCCAAACAGCTTCGTTCAAGAGTCCAGAATGTTTTCTGTCCAGGAGTAGATAATTCGGCTGCTACACTGAAAAAACAAAAATGTCAGACATAAAACACAGATGGTTCTTTTACCGGTTGAGATGTTTTCTTGTGTTTTGTAGGTTCTCTGTCGTGCGGCGGCAGACGCTCAGACTGAGAGTATAAAACATGATCGAGGATTTTCTGAGCTTGTCTTATAATCAGAGGCTGTGTCTCTGGTTTCCACATGTCAGTAGTTTGGGCCTGTTTTTGTAACTCAGGTTTTTACAAACAGAAGTGAAACAGAGAAGACCTTGCTCAGCCCAAAGTGTCCAACAGTGACTACCAGGGCTCTGTCTTTCATGTATGAACCATAAAATTAGTTTTCTGATTTGTCTGAGACCCTTTCTGTTGGGACAGGCATGTGTTTTATTTCAAATAGAGTGAAAAGTTAGGTACCCCAGCTTTAATATATATCTGATATCCATATATAGCTTATATGGATAGTGTTCTTAGAGTGTTCTTAGAGTTTTCCTTTAAAACGTGTCTCAGTCAAATCCAATCTCACAACGTTTTCCTTTCATCGATGGATTTAGTTCTTGCATCTGCTTTTTATACTTTTCCAATCAACAAGACAAACAGAGAAACTTATTTGGGAAAAGGACCAGATAAATGAATTATATAATGCACATCTTTATCTTTCTTCTCCTCTGCAGTTGTTTATGTTGGAAAATAGGCAGAAATGATCAAATACGTACCTAAAGCAGCTGTGAGTGCTGTTTCCTCTTCATCATGTCTCACAGAAACTGAACACACAGAGTCCCACAGAGGCTAATCTAAAGCAGGAGACAGGAAGTGCAGAGTCCCACGCTCACCTCAGGCCAAGAATCCACACAACGACAGCTGAACTTTTACAGTCAGTTTTTACATGGACCTGGTCTCTCTCTGGTCTCTCTCTCTGGTCTCTCTCTGGTCTCTCTCTCTGGTCTCTCTCTGGTCTCTCTGGTCTCTCTCTGGTCTCTCTGGTCTCTCTCTGGTCTCTCTCTGATCTCTCTCTGGTCTCTCTGATCTCTCTCTGGTCTCTCTCTCTGGTCTCTCTCTGCTCTCTCTCTGGTCTCTCTCTGGTCTCTCTCTGGTCTCTCTCTGGTCTCTCTGGTCTCTCTGGTCTCTCTCTGGTCTCTCTCTCTGGTCTCTCTCTGGTCTCTCTGATCTCTCTCTGGTCTCTCTCTCTGGTCTTTCTCTCTGGTCTCTCTCTCTGGTCTCTCTCTCTGGTCTCTCTCTCTGGTCTCTCTCTCTGGTCTCTCTGGTCTCTCTCTCTGGTCTCTCTCTGATCTCTCTCTGGTCTCTCTGGTCTCTCTCTCTGGTGTCTCTCTGGTCTCTCTCTGCTCTCTCTCTGGTCTCTCTCTGGTCTCTCTGGTGTCTCTCTGGTCCCTCTCTGGTCTCTCTCTGGTCTCTCTCTGGTCTCTCTCTGGTCTCTCTCTGCTCTCTCTCTGGTCTCTCTCTGGTCTCTCTCTGGTCTCTCTCTGCTCTCTCTCTGGTCTCTCTCTGGTCTCTCTCTGGTCTCTCTCTGGTCTCTCTCTGGTCTCTCTCTCTGGTCTCTCTCTCTGGTCTCTCTCTGGTCTCTCTCTGGTCTCTCTCTGGTCTCTCTCTCTGGTCTCTCTCTGGTCTCTCTCTCTGGTCTCTCTCTGATCCCTCTCTGGTCTCTCTGGTGTCTCTCTGATCTCTCTCTGGTCTCTCTCTCTGGTCTCTCTCTCTGGTCTCTCTGGTCTCTCTCTGGTCTCTCTCTGGTCTCTCTCTGCTCTCTCTCTGGTCTCTCTCTGGTCTCACTCTGGTCTCTCTCTGGTCTCTCTGGTCTCTCTCTCTGGTGTCTCTCTGATCTCTCTCTGGTCTCTCTCTGGTCTCTCTCTGGTCTCTCTCTGGTCTCTCTGGTCTCTCTCTGGTCTCTCTCTGGTCTCTCTCTGCTCTCTCTCTGGTCTCTCTCTGGTCTCTCTCTGGTCTCTCTCTGCTCTCTCTCTGGTCTCTCTCTGGTCTCTCTCTGGTCTCTCTGGTCTCTCTCTGGTCTCTCTCTCTGCTCTCTCTCTGGTCTCTCTGGTGTCTCTCTGATCTCTCTCTGGTCTCTCTCTCTCTGGTCTCTCTCTGGTCTCTCTCTGGTCTCTCTCTGGTCTCTCTCTGGTCTCTCTGGTCTCTCTCTGGTCTCTCTCTGCTCTCTCTCTGGTCTCTCTCTGGTCTCTCTCTGGTCTCACTCTGGTCTCTCTCTGGTCTCTCTGGTCTCTCTCTCTGGTCTCTCTCTGGTCTCTCTCTGGTCTCTCTGGTCTCTCTCTGGTCTCTCTCTCTGCTCTCTCTCTGGTCTCTCTGGTGTCTCTCTGATCTCTCTCTGGTCTCTCTCTCTGGTCTCTCTCTGGTCTCTCTCTGGTCTCTCTCTGGTCTCTCTCTGGTCTCTCTGGTCTCTCTCTGGTCTCTCTCTGCTCTCTCTCTGGTCTCTCTCTGGTCTCTCTCTGGTCTCACTCTGGTCTCTCTCTGGTCTCTCTGGTCTTTCTCTCTGGTCTCTCTCTCTGGTCTCTCTCTCTGGTCTCTCTCTCTGGTCTCTCTCTCTGGTCTCTCTGGTCTCTCTCTCTGGTCTCTCTCTGATCTCTCTCTGGTCTCTCTGGTCTCTCTCTCTGGTGTCTTTCTGGTCTCTCTCTGCTCTCTCTCTGGTCTCTCTCTGGTCTCTCTGGTGTCTCTCTGGTCCCTCTCTGGTCTCTCTCTGGTCTCTCTCTGGTCTCTCTCTGGTCTCTCTCTGCTCTCTCTCTGGTCTCTCTCTGGTCTCTCTCTGGTCTCTCTCTGCTCTCTCTCTGGTCTCTCTCTGGTCTCTCTCTGGTCTCTCTCTGGTCTCTCTCTCTGGTCTCTCTCTCTGGTCTCTCTCTGGTCTCTCTCTGGTCTCTCTCTGGTCTCTCTCTGGTCTCTCTCTCTGGTCTCTCTCTGGTCTCTCTCTCTGGTCTCTCTCTGATCCCTCTCTGGTCTCTCTGGTGTCTCTCTGATCTCTCTCTGGTCTCTCTCTCTGGTCTCTCTCTCTGGTCTCTCTGGTCTCTCTCTGGTCTCTCTCTGGTCTCTCTCTGCTCTCTCTCTGGTCTCTCTCTGGTCTCACTCTGGTCTCTCTCTGGTCTCTCTGGTCTCTCTCTCTGGTGTCTCTCTGATCTCTCTCTGGTCTCTCTCTGGTCTCTCTCTGGTCTCTCTCTGGTCTCTCTGGTCTCTCTCTGGTCTCTCTCTGGTCTCTCTCTGCTCTCTCTCTGGTCTCTCTCTGGTCTCTCTCTGGTCTCTCTCTGCTCTCTCTCTGGTCTCTCTCTGGTCTCTCTCTGGTCTCTCTGGTCTCTCTCTGGTCTCTCTCTGCTCTCTCTCTGGTCTCTCTGGTGTCTCTCTGATCTCTCTCTGGTCTCTCTCTCTGGTCTCTCTCTGGTCTCTCTCTGGTCTCTCTCTGGTCTCTCTCTGGTCTCTCTGGTCTCTCTCTGGTCTCTCTCTGCTCTCTCTCTGGTCTCTCTCTGGTCTCTCTCTGGTCTCACTCTGGTCTCTCTCTGGTCTCTCTGGTCTCTCTCTCTGGTCTCTCTCTGGTCTCTCTCTGGTCTCTCTGGTCTCTCTCTGGTCTCTCTCTGCTCTCTCTCTGGTCTCTCTGGTGTCTCTCTGATCTCTCTCTGGTCTCTCTCTCTGGTCTCTCTCTGGTCTCTCTCTGGTCTCTCTCTGGTCTCTCTGGTCTCTCTCTGGTCTCTCTCTGCTCTCTCTCTGGTCTCTCTCTGGTCTCTCTCTGTCTCACTCTGGTCTCTCTCTGGTCTCTCTGGTCTCTCTCTCTGGTGTCTCTCTGATCTCTCTCTGGTCTCTCTCTCTGGTCTCTCTGGTCTCTCTCTGGTCTCTCTCTGGTCTCTCTCTGGTCTCTCTCTGGTCTCTCTCTGGTCTCTCTCTGGTCTCTCTCTGGTCTCTCTCTGGTCTCTCTCTGGTCTCTCTCTGGTCTCTCTCTGCTCTCTCTCTGGTCTCTCTCTGGTCTCTCTCTGGTCTCTCTCTGCTCTCTCTCTGGTCTCTCTCTGGTCTCTCTCTGGTCTCTCTCTGGTCTCTCTCTGGTCTCTCTCTCTGGTCTCTCTCTGGTCTCTCTCTGGTCTCTCTCTGGTCTCTCTCTGGTCTCTCTCTGCTCTCTCTCTGGTCTCTCTCTGGTCTCTCTCTGGTCTCTCTCTGCTCTCTCTCTGGTCTCTCTCTGGTCTCTCTCTGGTCTCTCTCTGGTCTCTCTCTGGTCTCTCTCTCTGGCCTCTCTCTCTGGTCTCTCTCTGGTCTCTCTCTGGTCTCTCTCTGGTCTCTCTCTGGTCTCTCTCTGGTCTCTCTCTGGTCTCTCTCTGGTCTCTCTGGTCTCTCTCTGGTCTGGGATCAGTTGGAGAGTGTTTCATTACAGAGAGGAGAGGTCAGAACAGAAAAAATCTATGGTCATGTATATGGAGATAAAGGTATTTAAAGATGGAGCTGGAATGTGGGTCGTCTCTCACCAGACACTGTTAGAGTTAAAACACACTGTATATTCTGATTGTAAAATATATGTAATATTTGTATTAAAGGGTCCATGTTACGGCACGGCTCAGTTTAGGTGAAAAAGGGAGTAAAAGCAGCTGAGGAGTATTCCTGAATGTGTTTATGTGAATCAGTGTGGGCGTGTCCTGGGTCCAAATGGTCCATGAGCACGTGCGCATGACATCCGGGCCTGTGGGGGTGTACCCGGAAATAGAATTACCCATTGCATTTGTATGGCGTCTTCTTTCCTCTCAAAAATCTCTCGAGAGGAGAAAAACCGGATTGAAGTGGTTCTTGGTCCTCTTGGTTCCAGATGCTGTCTGAGGGGAGGATATGTTTTTGGACCGGTGTAGTTTAGCCGCTGTGGACTTTTGAATGCACTTGTTAAATGAAGGGAGCTAGTGAAGCTAAAGCACAAATGTGTTTTTCACATTTTCTTGCCTCACGCCCATTTTGAAAAAGCCACAGAACAAAAAAGTGATGTCACATTAGCTTGAACGGCGGAGAGAGGCGTGACTACATTCTAAGGCAGGTGTCTCCAACTGTTTTCACCCAGAGAGCTACTTCTCCCAAGACATAAAAGACAGAGAGCTACTACTTTAAAGGCGCTATACCCGTTTCTGCAATGTTTGAATGTTTAGCACCGCCCCCAACTCGCTCAATGGCTTCTCATTTCCCCTGCGCTCTCATAACACAGAGCCATCTAGTTTTATTTGCGATCTGATACATATGCTAACATTAGCATTAGCGCAACTTGTAAGCTGTGCAACAATCACTGATGAAATGGTACTAAAGCAATGCACTGCTAACACAATATATAATTAAAAGAATACCATTAGTTTCGCGTCCGAATGTATTCATTTAAACATTAGAATATATTCTAATATTTAATTATAATTTATTATACAGCTCCTCACAGCAGCAGCACTCCATTGACGTGAATGTAATTCTTCCGATCATTTTTTCTTGATAACAGAACTCTCAAACCAATAATGACCGCAGCCCCAATGCAATCTCTGTTTGTAATTCAGGTGTGTAAAATACTGCCATTACTTTGCAAGTACAACTAGCTATCAGCGCCTGTCACTACGCTGTGCAGTTTCTCTGCACACTTGTCTGTGTAGAGAAGCTAGCGGAGCTAGCGGAGCTAGCCACCTCAATAAACAAATACATATCAATCAATCAACACCATTAAACGTCAATCGGACAATACAGTTCACATATACATCCTAAACACACATGCACGGACGATTTCAGAATTTGCTGTCAACGTTTTCATGACAAAAATACTGTTTTAAAGTGACAAAAAGCGATCGCGAAAAACCCGGAAGTTACCATGAAACAGCTAGCTAGCTTAGCTGTTACCTGCCTAGCACGTCCCGGTGAAACCTTTGGGAGCTAACTATTTTATTTGCAGTCATTAAATACATTTCTAATTATAAGGGTTGTCTAATATTTGTTCAAATATGTATATATTTTTTAATTTTGGAATTATATTCGAATTTTGAAGTCGAAGCCCTGGTGTTAAGCAGCGCTGTAGAGACTAGAGGACGCAGGCTGTAGAGACTAGAGGATGCAGGCTGTAGAGACTAGAGGACACAGGCTGTAGAGACTAGAGGACACAGGCTGTAGAGACTAGAGGACACAGGCTGTAGAGACTAGAGGACACAGGCTGTAGAGACTAGAGGACGCAGGCTGTAGAGGCTAGAGGACACAGGCTGTAGAGACTAGAGGACACAGGCTGTAGAGACTAGAGGACGCAGGCTGTAGAGACTAGAGGACACAGGCTGTAGAGACTAGAGGACACAGGCTGTAGAGACTAGAGGACACAGGCTGTAGAGGCTAGAGGACACAGACTGTAGAGACTAGAGGACACAGGCTGTAGAGACTAGAGGACACAGGCTGTAGAGACTAGAGGACACAGGCTGTAGAGACTAGAGGACACAGGCTGTAGAGACTAGAGGACACAGGCTGTAGAGACTAGAGGACACAGGCTGTAGAGACTAGAGGACGCAGGCTGTAGAGGCTAGAGGACACAGGCTGTAGAGACTAGAGGACACAGGCTGTAGAGACTAGAGGACGCAGGCTGTAGAGGCTAGAGGACACAGGCTGTAGAGACTAGAGGACACAGGCTGTAGAGGCTAGAGGACACAGGCTGTAGAGACTAGAGGACACAGGCTGTAGAGACTAGAGGACACAGGCTGTAGAGACTAGAGGACACAGGCTGTAGAGACTAGAGGACACATGCTGTAGAGACTAGAGGACACAGGCTGTAGAGACTAGAGGACACAGGCTGTAGAGACTAGAGGACACAGGCTGTAGAGACTAGAGGACACAGGCTGTAGAGACTAGAGGACACAGGCTGTAGAGACTAGAGGACACAGGCTGTAGAGACTAGAGGACACAGGCTGTAGAGACTAGAGGACACAGGCTGTAGAGACTAGAGGACACAGGCTGTAGAGACTAGAGGACACAGGCTGTAGAGACTAGAGGACACAGGCTGTAGAGACTAGAGGACACAGGCTGTAGAGACTAGAGGACACAGGCTGTAGAGACTAGAGGACACAGGCTGTAGAGACTAGAGGACACAGGCTGTAGAGACTAGAGGACACAGGCTGTAGAGACTAGAGGACGCAGACTGTAGAGACTAGAGGACACAGGCTGTAGAGACTAGAGGACACAGGCTGTAGAGACTAGAGGACACAGGCTGTAGAGACTAGAGGACACAGGCTGTAGAGACTAGAGGACGCAGGCTGTAGAGACTAGAGGACGCAGGCTGTAGAGACTAGAGGACACAGGCTGTAGAGACTAGAGGACACAGGCTGTAGAGACTAGAGGACACAGGCTGTAGAGACTAGAGGACACAGGCTGTAGAGACTAGAGGACACAGGCTGTAGAGACTAGAGGACACAGGCTGTAGAGACTAGAGGACACAGGCTGTAGAGACTAGAGGACGCAGGCTGTAGAGACTAGAGGACACAGGCTGTAGAGACTAGAGGACACAGGCTGTAGAGACTAGAGGACACAGGCTGTAGAGACTAGAGGACACAGGCTGTAGAGACTAGAGGACACAGGCTGTAGAGACTAGAGGACACAGGCTGTAGAGACTAGAGGACGCAGGCTGTAGAGACTAGAGGACACAGGCTGTTCGCTGCTCGTTCTGTGAGTGGAGGAGAAAGAGCGTCCCGCTCAGACTCTACTCAGCACTTTTCACTGCCTGAATTTCATACACAGTGGAATCAATGACCTCAAGTTTTCAATTAAATTATGTATTATGATGCAACTTGTATGTAGTAAACAGTATTTTTATGAACTACTTAGAAAAAAAATCGGGTATAGCTTCTTTAAGTGATCCTTGGAAAATACATTGTGTTAGTTATCATTTATTGTCCCATATTCATGACTTTTGTACAAAAA